GGAGTTCCCCTGCTGCACAGGTGATCAGCACTGTCAAGTCCTGCCAGTGTTGCTCACCTTGTTAGGAGAGGAGGGGGGGAGTGAGCCTCTGGAGTCAATCACCCACACCTCACACAGGTAATGATTGCTGTGAGAACAGTCAGCACGTACCAACACTTGTTTCCACGCGTGGATTGCCCATGCTGATTGGGGCAAGTATTTCTAAAAGAGATATGCTCTCCATGGAGGGATTGTGAAACAGATGCATGACATTTACTGCTTGTGCATTTGCCCCAATCTATTTTCAATTTTGAGGAAACGTTTCCAGTCAGTTTATAGTATATCTAATTCTGGGCAACACCTCACCTGATGTGTGCTCCATTCTCTGTTAGGGACACCTGTTTCCGTCTCCATGCCAACAAATCTACTTATCCCTCCCCACAGCCTAAGATGCTTGAAAAGAATTCTTTCGCCTTGGGGGGCTAGCACAGGTGGCCCGCTTTGCTTTTCTGCCTCACGGTTTGCAGAGCTGCCAGATCTCTGAACATGAGAGCTTTTGCCTCATTGTTATGCGTTTGGATATTTCCCCCCAGATGATGCTGTCAGAGATGCTGTTGGGAGGAACTCAGCTGTGAAGATGTTTGTTTCATAGGGCAGTAAATTATCTTTCTGTGGAGAAAGTTCCTGCAGGACTTAATAATCGAGTCACTTCTCCTAACCTTCATTTACTTTGTGCTTCCCATTGTGCAGTACAGTGGTATCTCGGGTTACAGACACTTCAGGTTACAGACGCTTCAGGTTACAGACTCTGCTAACCCAGAAATAGTACCTCAGGTTAAGAACATTGCTTCAGGATGAGAACAGAAATCGTGCTCTGGCGGCGCGGCAGCAGTGGGAGGCCCCATTAGCTAAAGTGGTACCTCAGATTAAGAACAGTTTCAGGTTAAGAATGGACCTCTGGAATGAATTAAGTTCTTAACCCGAGGTACCACTGTATATCACAGGTCTGGCCCAACAGAGCAGCTTCCCCAGCTAGGGATAGGGGAGAAAGCCAATTCACGTTGCCTTTAAAACCAAATTTATCAAATGTACACTTCCCCCAAAACAATATGAGAACCTAAGCACAGCCATCCTTCGAAATTCACAGTTAACCAAATTTCACGATGCAGTTCCCCAACCACTGTTCACGAAAATGCATATAATAGGGGAAAGTGTGCTTTTATTAAAAAATCACAGTTTGCTGCAGAGATGCAGAGAACTGAATTTAAGACTGGTAAAATGAGAAGCTGAGAAAACCGAAACTGACAGCTTCTTCCACCCCTATCTGTGACATACTTCATGATACAGAAAATAAAATAATAAACACCAAGCAGGAAATTGCCTGTTATTAAGGGTGGGGGCATTTGGCTCTGTCAAAATAATACCAGGCATAAACCTGCAATCTGCCTCCCCATTCCCTAATCAATAAATGTCAACCTCCCAGAAAACTTATCCCATTGGCCCAGGTTGATTGCAGTTTAAGGGGTGTCCGTCTCTCCCTTTTCCTCCCCTTCTGCATCTAAGGAGTGTCATACTTCTTGGGTGCTACTAGCTCATCTCAGATACAGCTCAGAGCTAGACCATCTTGGCTTTGATAGGTAAGCTATGGTATGTACCTGAAGAAAAATCCTTGGAATAAAGTGGGCTCTGGGAAGAAGGAAGGTGGGGCACTTCCAAACAAATTTTAAACCTTAAGCAAAATTTAAAGGTAAAGGGTTGTCAGAACCAGCAAGCGACACTGTTGGGTGAATGGAACAACAGTTGCTCTACTCCTCTGTGAACAGGAAGTGACTCTTTAATGCGGTACTTCCTTTATGCTTCCAGCTGGCTGTTCCACCATCAACGCTCATGGAAACATATTTTATTTCACCTGACACAGACCCAGTTCACAGTTCTCACCCATGTAGAATGGAGAAGACCAGTACATGCTGAAGCTATTCACATTTCTAGACTCCACAGCTCATTAAGCACTATTTCTCCCACAGGCCAGCCCAAGACCAAAGGGCAAAATGGTCTCCCACCACCCAACCTTGTTCTGTGTACAGAAGCTGAATCTTTTTTCAATCCTGACAAGGATGTTCTCCATAGCACCTGAAGGCAGCTGGCTAGTTAGGGAGGTTCTGATCAGGCCACGTTGCACACATTGTTCTGTCCTCCAATAGAAGGTTATAGCAAGGGGCTCAGAAGCAGCAGCAGGGGGGAAGGACTACCACCACTGCCCCAAAGCCTCTGCCATCTGTCTCATGCAAGCCCCCACTTCCCCTTTCCCTCCAACTCCCCTCTCCATGTACCTGCATGCATGCATGCATGCGTTTTTAAGAGTTGGAGCTTGCAGGTGGGCACTTGAGTTTTCTAGAAGTTGCCCCCGCAGTGTTTACCATGGACAGTGAGCCACTCAGCATCACAAGAGGTGTCATAATCTTCCATAGGCCTGTTGTAAAGATTATACCTAAATGTTGTTTCCAGCTCCTTTTATCGTTTCCAGCTTCAAGGCCATGTTGATGGTTGACAGTATGCTGCCTTTGAAGTTCTTGCCATGCTCTCCCTGCAGAGTCACAGCTCACCACTGAACCTTCCCTAACTCTCCAGGCTAAGCGGCCCCCTATGTCTCACATCTAGGGCATTTTTCTTACATCTCTTTCTCTCCATTCAGACTCCTGCTTAGTCTTGGGCTTCCTTCCTTTCACCTCTCACTTCAGGATCTAGCTCAGCTGGCCTCCACACTCCTTTATGCACATGTTCCACTTCTGGAAATACAGATACATTCATTCTTTCCTTCAGACACAGTGATGTAGCTCACTGCCATGTTGTTTCAACAGTCAGCAGTTTCCCCAGCTTACTTGCAAAGCAATGATGAAGAACAAGTACTTCTAGCTCCCGCAGCAGGAGTTCTCAGCATGCTCAGTCAAATATTGGGATATACCATTCAAAACCATCATTCTCTAATCCTTTGGAATGAAACTAAAATTATAGTCAATTTGCTGATAACAGCCCAAATAATAGCTGCATTCCAAAAAGTAGTACATTAGCTAATTGAGGTTAATGGTAGCTGAGTTAGATTAATGGGTTCATAAAGCATGAGAGGTTCTGCTAATAGATGCTTTATTGTATTGTTGGAGTGCATGGCTATAATTTTAAGATACATATTTTTGTATTTTACTCGTTCCTAGGAAATGTCTTGCAAATCACAGTGAATCTTTGGTATTTATTTGTGCTCTCTTGTTCTCTTGTGGTATTTACATTTGTGCATATTTTGATATGAAGCCCTTCACTAAATTTGTAATTCTATTTTGTTTTTATAGATTGTAATTTAATTTGGATTTTATTTTGATAATAATAATAAATATCTGATTGGGGTTTGCAGTCCATTTGGAAATGGAGTATTGAAGTGATGGCCATCATAGTGGCAATGCAATAAAAGTTCTGATCCATTATGCCTATTATCAACCTTTGACTGCCCAGTCCCATGAATGGAGTCCAGTGAGGCCTGTTCAACATTAAGGACGTATCCTTCTCTTGGTTTCAAAATTCAGGTTGTGAGTGCTGTTTGCTTATGAAGCCAAAACAGTAAAAAGCCTAAGGAAGGGAGGAGCACAGAAGAGAACATTGAGGACTGAGCATGCTCTGTGACCATCGAATGCTGACTGAGTCTTGAGTGAGGCAGTGGTGTGCAATGAAAAACTAAGGCGGCTTGGAATGGAATGAATGACACTCCACACTGCAACATTTTGTTGTTGATCCCACATGTAACTGAAGCAGCAGATTGTTGTGAACTGCCCTGTGATCTTCAGATGAAGGGCTATACAAATTTAATAAATAATAATAATAGATTGAGTCTCACAGGTGACTGGAAGGCCAATCAATCATTATCTTCAGCATTTAATAAGGTCTCTCACTGCCATAGTTGGGATGGAGCACCTCATTAGCCAGCCCAGCAGACACACTGAGAACAAGTCACATGCAGCTGCTCAGATTTTTTAGGTGTGAGGCAGGCAGAGTAGTTTTTCGAGTAACCCTGGTGTCAATAATGATGACTATGCTAAAAGAAAATGTCCTTGCAGTGAGAACACTGAGTTAGAGGAAGACGGATAATCCTGCTTAATCCTTTGCCTGCTAATACCTTAAAAACAAGCTACTCTCTTCAACTGGCACCAGAAGCATTTTGCTCTATTCAGCGGCAGCACCCAAAAAGCCTCTCTTCCTTTCGGCCTGTGGACAGAGCAAGGTCCTGAAGACAGGAGCTTTTATGGACATTTGATCTGCAGCTGAGTAGCTTGTTCACCCATTCAGTAATAGCTATTGCTGTTTTGTGATCATACAAGTGCCTCCTAAAACTGTCCCTAGTGCTCCAGAAACAGGTGGCTATGAGGCAAAAAATTATTTGGAGTGCAGCTGCAAACTTGCTTACATTCAAACTCTGGGAACTCTTCTCAAAGGCAAGAGTTAATTCCATGGCACACATAATACAAAAGCACCACAAGGAAGTCCTCTGTGTATGCACTGCAAAACAGCAACTGCAGTTTGTATCTGAGAGAGATCTATCTGCAGTTTCCATGTCAGGAAAATACAACGCAGTCACGGCACAAAGTCATTTTGTACCTCAGCCTCCCAAGGCTTACAAATTCAGCCACACTTCCAAAGCTTTATTTACATCAGTTTAGTTGTAACAACAGGTCCTACCAAATTACAGGATTTAATGACTGGATTGTTTCAGGTCATGCAGCTACCATTGTTGCAAAATGGGTTTTAAGACATTTCACAGCTCAAGACAATTGTCTTTCCAGCAATAACATGGGGTCAGGCTGCAGGTAGGGTCTGTAAGGTGGATTGCTCTATGAAATGCAACTGTGGCCTGAGGACAGTCATCCCAAAAACAGCGCTGTAAAGGATTGGCAGAAAATGAGGTGGCAGGATAGGTGGAAAAGGAGCAGTGGGACTTGGCTGGGGGATGAGGATTGGACTGAACAGCTGCATGGTTCCTATTACTCGCCGCCTTCAAACATCTTCTTCCTGCCTTCCATGCCAGACTTCTCCTCAATGTTCTTCCTCCAGTCACCCACGTCACGAAGATCCTTCTCCTATGGGAGGAAGGGGAGAAACATTCAAGCTTGGTCAATGTCCTTGAATGAAGGGCCACATCCATTTGCTTTTCCTTACACAGCCTTGCTTGACAGAGAGAACGCTACAAGCACTTGTGTATGAACAAAGAGTGTCAGTTATATAGGGCTGGTTCACAAGCTCCCAGCCAGAAAGGTGGGCGTTGGTATCTATGAATCCCAAAACAGCATAAAACTCAACACAAAACACAGCAAGAAGTGAAAATGATTATTCTTCCAGACACAGTTCAGAGTCTTGGACACTATGGGTCGCACCCAATGTTGGTCTTACTGTGAGCAGACCCACCAAAATTAATAGACATGACTAACTTGAGTCCATTAATTTTTATGTGTCTGCTCTAAGTAAAACAGAGTTGGCTACAACCTCATAATCAGAAAACCCTGGAAGTCAACTAACTGTACTGCTTTTGCAGTCACCTACTGCTTGGTTAAGCTGGATGCCCTTCCTGGTTCCTGTCATCTTCCAGCTCACTTAAAATGCAATTTTTAAAAACTCACTGTTGTCTAATTGTGGCCTTTTTAAATTCACCATTATCTCAGTAATGGTTCTTTATTACCATTGTTATCAGTGCGCTTCTTGGAGATGTTCTCCTTTAAGAAACCCACACAGCATGTTTCTTGCTGATTCATAGGAAGCAAACTGGTAGGTTTTCACTCTGACAGGTTTCGGTGGGAGTGGTGAGGGACACAGAAAAAAATTGCAGAGCTATGAATAGTTGACAGTTTTTCCTTTTACTGTGCACTGCTTGTCTTAAAGCTTCGTATTTTATTCTGGCTTTAATGGGTTGGGTTACATCAATGCTGTAAGTTGCCTTGAGACTCTGTTTGGAGGGGGGGAAGGTAAAACAGAAGAATGAATTTATGTTATTTTACTTGTGATCTGTGACTTTAAATTAATGCACAACCCTATGCACATCTGCTCAGAAGCAAGCCCCGTTATGTTCAATCAGACTTATTCCCAAATATGTTTGTACAGGACTGCAGTCTAGATTGGACTGAAAGATCATTGCCTGCATTTGTGCATCTGCAATTACAGTACTAGTAGCTACATAACTCCAAGAGGTAAAATGAAAAAAACCTGACGTAATTTTCTTAAGTACAACCAAATATGATTGACATTGAATGTAGTACCAAAAAGGGGGAGGGGGGAATAAACAGCATCCCAGGCTTTTGCCCAACTGAGCTACTTTAGACAATTACCAGGTGAAACAAAAGAAAGAACCTGAGGCTAGTTGCTAGTGACAAGGAAATGAATGCAACAAGGAAGTAAGGGAACATTGTTAAATGCTAAACTGAGTAACTGGGCACTAAGGGGAGAAAAACTTGTAGTGCAGTAGATACCAGACCTGAACACAATGTGTCCATGTCTTTGACATGTAGTTTCATTACAAATCAGGATTTGAGTAGACAGCTTTGCTAAATTACACAGCAAAGTCATAGCGGATGCTTCTTTTAACCCCTTTAGATACCTTTTCAGTGTCTTCCTTCTTGACTTGCTTCAGGTTAGCTCTAAGATCCATGCAGACCTTGTGTTTGGAGCCCAGAAGGGCACGTAGCATAGCGTCTGCAGACATGCGGACTCTCTTCAGAGGTGGCCTCTTGAACTTGCCCCTCAGGTCAAACAGTTTCTGGCTCAAATCTTCAAGCTAGAGGGAGAGGCAGAGAAAGAAAAAGGTGCAAGGGTGGGAAAGGTGACTGATATTAGATTAGGGGGATACAGCACAAAGCACTACTCAATTATAGGACACAGCCTGACAAAGTAAAGTATACAGAAATTACAGGACAGAAGCAGGCACTTGAGGGAAAGATACAAAGGGAAAGTAGTTCAAGGAGTTACACTGAAGGTATGTCTGTACCTACTCTTTTCTGTGTGATAGCCCACAAATATACTACAAAGATGTACTACAAATATATGGCAAAGACTGCATTTAATCCCAATAGTTGTCTCCTATCGCTCTGCTTCTGTTCTCACAAAAGAGGAACTAACCTCCCACAGCTAATTTGAACATTACAAAATGTAATTTGTTCCATGACTTCTTCCTCCTTTTTACACTTTTTAGAAAATTGGTGTCAATGTACCAATGCAACTACCCCTAGTAACAAGTAAACACTTTCTTCTAGGTGGCAGATGCCAGCCTTCCATATTTTCTTGGTGGTTTCTTATCCTACTGAACACACATCATATATTTCAGGTATACCCTTTATGCACACCCTTAACATAGAAAGTGAGACCTCCGACAGTCTAGAAATGTAACTTTGAATCCATTTGTGGAATTTTGCCTTTGTTCAAGAGCTATATACAAGAAGTTATTGTATCCTTCTGGACCCAACCCACTCTTTGGAAACAAAAGTAGGACAATGAAACCCAGAAACTGAAACACACACTCAACACAGCACAGAGCTGGATTACCTCCTTAGTAGTTTTCTGTAACTTAACCTCTGTGTCGTATCTTTCCTCATCAACCTCCTCTATCTTAGCATGAAGCTTTTTGCAAAATTCCTGTTGAGAAACAAGGAGAGATTATTAAAGACGGTTGCTGAACCCCATATGGCATTTCCTCCCCAGTCTTTTTGTGGGAAAATCTATATTTTATGTGTCTTCAGTACAGAGGTCTGGCTACACAGTTTCAGAAGTGTTCATAGTGAGTTCTTCAGTCCAGCTGCTTTTTTTGAAAATCTGAGAACCTAAATCAAGTGGAGAGCATTTTCACAATCCAATCCTGTGCCTGTCTGCTCAGAAGTACGTAAGTCTCAATGAATTCAGCGGGACTTACCCATCCAGGTGTCCTTTACCTACTTCCCTGGGAAATGTATGCATAGGACTGCATAATAGACATATATTAATAAATGGGATTTTCTTATGCCACTTCATGCTTTCTTTAGGATGGTGTGTGTGTGTGTGTGTGTGTGTGTGTGTGTGTGTGTGTGTTTGTTACTAAATTGCTAGTTTTGCATTAAAGTGTGTCCTTCATACCAAGGAATCCTGATTCACACCTGATGTAATTTACAGCTTAATTCTTTTTCTTTACTTACTTCTGTGGGACTTGGGTTTGTTGTCAAAGCAGAGCTAAGGAGAACATTCCATGAGCACAAAATTTGTCATTGCATGATGGAATACTCACCCCCTCTCTGTCTGCCCCAAATGCCCCTTAAATCTGTTCTGTGAGTTCCCCTAACCCTCCAGAGCAGATCTGGGGATATTGTGGGGCATGAACAGGGCTGGATGGGGGGGATCCCATTGCACTAGTGCTAATCCTTGCCCTATTACACCCACTTAGCTGAATACTGTCCTTAGTTCATAGATGTGTCCCTAGGATTGCACTCTCAACCACCTCCTTCACTGGACTAGATTCCACTGCAGTACAAGAAACCTGCTATGTGGTTAGATGCAATAATGGCTACTTGCATAGGCCCTGCTGAGGGATGTGAATTATTTTATCAAGAGATTATTGAGCAAGTCATGAAAGGTGACGGAGGCATTTTTCTTGGCATGGTTGAGTCTGCTTTCCCCTCAGTCAGGGACACTGCTTCAGAGCTCAGTGACCAGGGGTCTGTGGGACAGGAAGAGATGTGGGTGCAAAATTTTCAGGAAAACTTAAAGACTCTTGGTGTATCCAACCATAAACTGCAGAAAAGCAGCATATTTTTGGAAAATGCATTGTAGTTGCTGCTCATACCTCATGATGTTAACACAGGTCAGTGACACACATAAACACTTTTTTTAAAAAAGCAAAGGGTTCTGTGCCTTTGAAATGTGTATCTGATATAGGAGGCTCCCTTAAGCAGCAATCCTAAACCAATATTCCTAGTGGTAAGGCCTAGTGAACACTATAGGCCTTACTTTTGAATAAGCACGCACAGAGGTGGACCGTTGTTTACAACAACAGTCACTCAATGTGCAGAAGCAATGACCAGGCCAGATATATAGGCGATTCTGAGTGAAAAAAATCACATGGGAGATGAACACGACGGGGGGGGGGGGGTGTACAGCCCTAAAAATACAGTCCAACCTTACTTAAATGATGTCTTTGCTTCAAAAGCAACATAGGAGCAAATAATCCATAAAAAACACAATAACAAATGTTGCAACTAAATATCTCAACCTTGACCACTAAACAACACTATGGATTCTGATAAAATATCCTATGTCAGGTTTGAAAGGAACCTGGTGCCCTCCAGCTGTTTATGACCCCCACCTCCCATTATTTCAAAACACTGGCTAAACTGGCTGGGGCTGATGGGAGTTGGAGTCCAACAACATATGGAGGGCTACACTTCCCCATCCTTGTTCTATGTAGCTGTTTCTACCAATGCCGTTGTATCATGAATGATCAGGCAAAGTTGTTAAGCACAGATGTGTTCTAAAAAATAAATTAAAAATCACTGTCTGGACCAATATGCATTCACTCACATGCTCTGTGAAGACCTAGTGTGGAAGGAGAATTATCATTTACACAGGCATGTCCAGACCTCTGGGTTTGAAGATTGTTTGGAGCAGGCAATGGACTGAGACCAAACTTGAGGTGAATGAAATTAAATAATAGCCATAATAATAATAATAATAATAAACCTTTATTGTCACTACACCTTAGAACTACACCTTAGAACTGACATCCTATGTTGCGGTTCTTGTGCAGCAGTGAATGGAGAAGATTCAATTATTACCTGCAATTCTTGCATGGAACTTGGGAGTGACAGAGGTGGACAGTGCTCTGCAAGGTAGTTGGCCTTTTCTTGTTCTTTGGCTACAGCTTCTTTTTCAAGTTCACCAGCAGCAATCTGGAGCATAACACTCTGGAGGATAAAGTTGGGAGAAGCACAATGACTGGGGGAACAGAACGACTTCTCAAGGCAATCGTCATCATACACAATGATACACAAACACCCACCAGGGTGAAGTGCTGGGCACAGAGAAATGGACTGGGCAGAGCCAGCATGGGCCTAATGGGGAAAGGGTAGGATGGGGTTTGGAAGCTGTGGCCCTCCAGATTTTATTGAACTCCCAACTCCTATTAACCCCAGTCGGAATAGCCAACCGTAAGGGTTGCTTAGAGCTGTAGGCCAACAATATCTAGAGCAGGGGTCAGCAACCTTTTCCAGCCATGGGCTGGTCCACAGTCCCTCAGACCATGTGGTGGGCCGGACTATTTTTTTGGGGGGGGGGATAAATGAATTCCTATGCCCCACAAATAACCCAGAGATGCATTTTAAATAAAAGGACACATTCTACTCATGTAAAAACACACTGATTCCCAGACCATCCGCGGGCCACATTGAGAAGGTGATTGGGCTGCATCCGGCCCCCAGGCCTTAGGTTGCCTACCCCTGATCTAGAGGTTCACAGGTCCCCCATTTCTGGTGTAGGGCCAGGGCTTGTGCTCTGCCATGACTTCACTGGGTGGTCTTGGGAAAGCCACCGCCCCTTAGCTTCAGTATCCTGTGTAAAACGAATACTATAATGATTGGATTCAGAGTCAAGCTAGTTGTAACAGCAGATGTTCTGTTTGCTTAAACATGCAGCTGCACCAATCATGTAGAAAGAGAGGGCAGGCGCTGATTTTAACAATGAAAAGGATCCATATGTGAGAGGTTCAAAACCATACCTGCCCTCAACACACACACTTGTGGATTATGTCCATGCAGTTTCTCTCCCTGAGCACCTTTCTCCTCAGATCAGCTCCAGTATCACAAGTTGCCTCAGCTTGGCAAAAAAAAACACTTGGGGGGAAAGGTGTGGTGGAAAAGTCTCAACACCATCCATCCATCTGCCCCCTTCCCTGTTGACATATGGGCGAGGGGGCCTCTTTCACATGATTGTGGCAGCTCTGTGTCTAAACTGCCATCATTGCTGCCACCGCCATGGCAAGTGTGGGGCTGTTGTACTTGAAAAGTTAAACATGGCAGAAGCTGTGAAGTAGGGATGGGGACCCTGTGCCCCACCAATGTTGTTGAGCTACAGCTCCCCTCCAGCATTGCCAGTGGTCAGGAATGGCGGGAGCTGTCATTAAGCAATATCTAGAAGGCCACCAGTTCCCTATCCATGTCGTCAAGTGTCTGACATTTTAAAAGAGCTCTTGTAGATGAAAAGCAACAATAGAAAAGGGTCTGAGTGTGGAATAGTCAGGCCGGTTTTCTGTAGATGTCAAGGAGCCCTTTGGAAAAGGGGCCACTCAGGCAGAGTTCAGTGCTGTGAGGCTTAGAGCTTTTTACCATCCCCATCTCTTACCCAAGGGGAAAAGTAAGAAAGAAACAGAAGTCGTTTTGTTAGGAACGACCAGAGAGAAAAGGTACCTTGAGATGCTGCCGGCGGGCAGTGATTGCCCTCTTCCTTTTCTGAAATGGCAAGAAGCAAAATGAGAAAGAAGTGGGTTACTTAAGTGTTTTGTCCTTCTCACAGTCACAGCCGATTTCTCCCCCTCCCCCAGGCATGTCTTTTGACATTGCTTCAAGAGGCAATTGGGTATAGATGTCAAAATTTGCCCTCAAATTATGCTAATTGGACCCTTTGCTTCTGCAAGTTGGCTCCTCATAACAACAGCACATTCTATCTCTGGTGCTTTGGGGCAGAGGGAATAGCCATTCATGTTTTGAATAGCTCCCTGACCTGCTTGCTGTACTTTCATTTGAGGGCATCCCATCCAAGTCATGAATGTTTAAGAAATCTGATAAGGTCACCACAGTATGGGGGCAGCCAGACCAGAATTTGGCCTTTTAAAAGTGACTTTTAAAGGCAATGGAAAGACTTGGCTGTACTGCAGTAGGCTTTGGTCAAAATCTATCATTAGTGCGCCTACGTATGCTATGAGATGCTTCTTCCAGAAGCCCATTTTGTAACTCTTTCTTGTGCAATTTATCCCTATGGGAAAATCCATTTTAATACATGTGGTGGGGACTAAGCAAAAGAGAGGGAAAGTTTGTTCCCAAGTGAAAAGAAAAGAAACCAAATACACCAGTAAGAAAAGGAACCCATATGGTAAGTCATATATGTTTTGATAGGCCCTTCTTCAGCTGCTCTAGATTTCTGAGGCCTAGAAGGTGGTTATAAAACTCAGGGCCTTTTTAGTGGTTTCCCCTGCACTATGAAACTATCCATCCAAGGAAGTCCACCAAGACACCTCCCTTCTGACTGTTAGGGATCAGGTAAAATAAAAATAAAGCCCTTGAGGGGGGTTACTTAATTGTTAAGACTGTAAAACTAATGTCTGTTTGTTCTCTTGTATTAGTTGCTTAATTTTGATTAGTGGTCTTAATTGGATGGCTTTAATGATTTTAAACAGTTATGACTGCAGTTTGCTATGTTATGTGTAAGCTACTTTAGGGATCCTTTTAGATAAATAGGAGGGATGGGAAACAAACAAACAAATGAATGAATAAAGGCATACATGCTTTCAACAACCACCACCACAACAACCTAACACTGAACAGTCCAAAACCATCACAGAGGCAGACCAAGTGTGACACCTTCTGCTACAACCAAAATTTGGGCTAGCAAATGTTCCAGTTACAACAGTAAGATTTTTGGAGCAGAACAGGGACCTCACCTACTCCATTTCAGCAGCTCCTGGAATGGCATCCAAGATCTATCATGGCATAATCATGTATGCCTGCAGGCCTCTGGCATGGCAAGGGGGCAGTGAGATCACTGACTGCATCTTGCATCTATGCTTGTGAGGAAAGGCCTACTGTAGCCTGAACATGCTACTTCACATGCACAGAAGCATCCAGTCAAGAACGGTCAGTGATGCCCTTGACACCTTGCTATGTCATAGACTTCAGAGAATGCACAACAATGCTCAGCTTCACCTCCACGCATAACCAGGTTGCATTAGGTCTCTCTGCAGATGCCCAGAGGGCATTCCAAACTCCACAATCTTCTCTAGAGTTTGAGCAGAGCAGAAGTAACACATGCCTTGCCCTGCTAAAACTTTCTGAAGGTACATAAGGTACTCATTAATGTCCTAGAGTCCTAGACCATTGTTCCTAATCTCAACTTCTAGTGTCTCTGCTTTCACTGCCTTCCATCAGGATGAGATTAGATGACAAATGTGGACAAACATATTGGCAGCTTAAAGAAGCAGGGATCTGCCTTCTGGTCAACGCCAGTCCCTAGAGCTCCACTCTAATAGCTCTTCTGTGAGTAATCTATTAATACCCACAGAAGCTGCTAACACAATTTCTAAGTCAGCCTGGCAAAAAGGTGTCCACATTTCCTTATTGCAGTGTCAGCAATGGCAAACAGGAAAAAAGAGCCCCCAAAGAGCACATCATCCTCTTGTTGGATTTTTAAAAATACCACTATTGAACCACCTATTATTATAGTAGAAGTAGTGTACTAGGGGGATGGCTTTGAGTGAAACATAGTTGTGAGCTTTGCATGGAGGATCATTGTTGAAAGCTGCCCAGAGTGGTTGAGGAGGCCTGGCCAGATGGGCAGGGTATAAGTAATAATTATTATTATATTATTGTTATCATTGCACACCTTGGAAGTTCTTTGATGGGGGCGGGGCAAGGCAACCCAGTATCAGAGATGGGGGTGCAAGCTTTCCTATGGCATCGTTCCCAAGTGGGACAGCATTTCACTTCTTCTAGTTAGAACCTTTCATTTATGCAAGAAAAATGAAACGGTTGCACTAAAGGGTGCCACTGAGGAGAGCCTAAATTTGCATGGACACAGGCAGACGCAGGCACGTGCGCGCACACACACACACAGATGTCTCTTAATTTCCATAGCTCCATTGTAGATTCCATCTTGTGGTGGAATGTTGGGAGGGTGGAATGGAATGTTTGAAACTCGCTTATAGAGGAGGAGGAACGACAATGCATTTTGGTTGATGAGTAATCTTCACTGCCCTATAAGATCTTCTCCAAGAGGGCAGAGTTTATCCCAGACTGATAGCATGACCATGCCAATGCGCTTCTGATCCAAAGTTCTACCCATGAACCTCACCCCATCCACCCCAGCCAAAATAGAAAGGGAAACTTACTTCTTCACTGGTTTGGGAGAAAGAAATAGACACAAGCAGAAAGCAGGGAAGGAAAAACAGATGGTTAGTTTCAAGAATAAAAAGACAGATTCTCTGATCCAAAAGACTGAGCATGGAGCAATCGGGGCAATAGTGGGCGAAGCATTTTTGCAAATGTTAAAATCCCACCCATCTATTGTTTGGCAGGGAAGGAAGAGGAAAGAGAAGCCAGATAACCAGAAGAATTGTAAGTTTTTGAAAGAGCTCTTTGCACACAGCTCCAGCCGCTGGGTGGCATGGGGGACGGCCCAGTGTACACAATCTATTTGCATGTGCCTCTCTCCATCCAGCTGACGATATGCACAGAGAAGCCGATGCAGCCCATGCGTTAGACAGATGGGAGTGCAGAAAAGTATTACTTCTTGTTGACGGGAATGAAAGAAAAATTGTAGCTCTAGATTTGTGTTTTTTAAAAATGTGTTCCACAAGATAAACACAACAGTAACTTACTCAGACATCTTGGTTTTGTTGATGAGCACCTGCAACAAACCAAAGGCATATATATATATATTTAATACAAGTGTATTGTTTGGATTAAACAACATTGGTCACTACTAGAAAACAGAAATTGGTTTGTACTTATTGCCCAACTGCTCCCCATCTGCTGAGTGAGGAAGTAGTTGCCAAATTTATGGAAGGCTGCCAAATACATTTTCTCCCCCACCCCCCATATAATTTGTATTAATTTTTCCTTTTATAACACAACAAATACAAGCTTACAATAACAAACAAATATACTCTTTGCTCAGTCACAATGGGAAAAACCTATCTATACCAAGCCTTCCAGAAAACATGCAAGTTTTAACCCTTGTAGAAACACTGTGTGCTGAAACCTCTGCAATAAACTCATATTGCAGCCCATGTGAGGAGACAAAGCATGCTTTGCTACTTAGTCAATAGCTTACATTTTGTTGCAAGTGATTCTTATCAGTACATGTATGCATTCTACTGACTGCCATAATGGTGGTAACCAGAGAAGCACACAGCTATACATTTAGGAATTTGCTTCCATTTCAGCGGCTTCTCGGGAACAAGTTGCATTAAACTTTAAGGTTTCCCTGTATTTTTATATTGTTTCAAATCGATTATTTAAAAGGTATGTGCCTCCCCCCCCCCCCCCGCCCAACAGTGTATGAAGTAACTACTTTGCTATCTTTGGATCGCAAACGGATGGCCATTATACTCAGAATGAGACAAGGAAGAGTTAAAAGATGGCCAGAAAGGACACCCCCGAAGGCCATGGCTGACCTCCCGAAAGAAACCCTATCCTGAAAAATGTGTAGGGCCTATCACATAATGGAGAAGAAAGTGCTTCTAAAAATGGCTTGCAAAGAAGCTGCAGCTGTCTCCTTGGATTGTGGCCTGCCTTTCCCAGTGACTCAGGAGGGCCAATATGGGGTGTCACTGTGGTAACCACAGGTGGCAAAGGTGCAAATGACAGTGGGCGTGATATATGCTAGAAATAAAACAAAAGACAAATAAGGAACAACAGAGGGAAATCACGCCAATCATCAAAATAGACGTTTGTGTAATTTGCAGTTTTGTATCCTTTCTGTATTTTCTACAGTATATCCCAACTTGTCAGTTGCCTTTTTTGCAGAAATGTCAGCATGCTACTTGTGAAACCAGTGCCACTCAGACTCACTGAAAACAAAGCACTCTATTTTAGTCATTTTCTTAGCAGCAAGTGCGAAAAAGGTCACGCGGTCAAGCATTACATCTTCCCCTTCCTTCTTCAACAAGTGGCTTTTCCATCTGCTCCCTACCGCCCCAAAATTGCTTACTGAACAGAGAGCAAGCTGACTCAAATTAGTTATGCTTTTCTTTCCTGAAAGGCAAAATCGTATGCTTTCTTCTTTTCCTTTTTCTGGTTAGGCTTTCTCTACCGAGCAAGTTTTAATGTAGAAACAGGCCATGTTTTCAGCAGGGAGATTTGACTGCATTCTCAAGCTCAGGTTTCACAGTGCAAATTTACACTGCAGACTCCTTAACATCATGGGAATTAAATCTGAGGACGGAGTAAATCTGAGCTTTCCAGCTCTTGAATCATGAGAGCAAAGGCCACTTTTATGGAGTGGGACGAGCAACAAAGTCCGATGAAATTGATTGCTGTAACAGGCTAAAGAAAGGAAAGACAGATGGGTGCTCAGAGGACAGACTTTGACTCCAACACTGGGGTTTAGATCCTTTTCCCCCCAGTCAAGAATCATTAATCTAGGAACCACAGAGTTTCTACTCTTTCTTTCAGCCTTTTAGAACAGCAAGGGGGGGGGTCAATAAGAGACATGCAAGGGCTCACCTAAGTCCCAAGAAGAAAAACACACAGCGCTGGTGGGAGGACTGGATCAACTGGCAAGCCACGGGCAGCTGGCTTACTGAGGAGGTATAAATGTGTTTCTTAAACAGCTCAGCAAAAAAACCCATTCTCTCTTTAAGGGCATGGAGTCTTCCTTAGACCAATGGTGTGTAAGGGTCCAGAAATACAAACCACCCCCCTCGGCTAAAGCAATCAATTTGGGAAGCAGTCAAGAAGTCTTGGAGAAGTCAGGCAGCAGGGAGAATAACAGAAGAGGAAGTGTATTTTGCAGAGTGTTGGGAGCACAGTCATATATTTTACATGGTAAACAGGTAAAATGAATCCAGTGAAAGACACATATGAAAAATATACATATACACATGCTCAGAACTTCAGTTAATTTTTAACATAGACAACATTTAAAGGGCCCACCCTAATTTCCTTGTGCACCCAATTCAGGTACATACTACCTTATTGATCTTTTTGTATTTATACCACACGTTTTCTCCAAGGACACATCGGATTCTCCTATTTTACCCTTGCAACAACCCTATGAGGTAGGCTAGGTGAAGTGATAATAATCTATATAGCATGTTAGTGTGTTCAAAGTGCTTCATACATAGTAATCCAGAAGGCAAGGTAAAGTAAATGTCGGCAGTTCATGATGGGGAGTGGGAGGGGGGGAGTCATGGTTCAGAAACAGTAGCTTGTCTAACACCGCCTAGCAAATTCATTGCAGAAGCAGAATTTGAACATGGGACTTCCTGATTCACAGCTCAGTTTCGTTGCCACTGTGCAACTGAACAAATTGCCTGAGGCTACTCAGCAAATTTCTCAACCAAGCAGGAATTTGAAGCAAACTTTTTACATAAGGCTAGTCCAATACATTTTGCAGCATGAAGCAAAGGTCCTCCCTACTGGCCCCATTTCACATGCAGAAGCTGACTGAACTTACAGTTGAATTTTACTTCAGAAATTGCACTGGGCCATCAAACTCCACCACACCTGAGGGAAGCAGGCAGCACACAGAGCCTCACCACAACTCCCTATTTGCTGCCTCCAAATCTGTTGCCACCATGGCCACCCCACTCTGTCTAAGACAGTGGTGGCCAGACTTGGCCCTCCAGCTGTTTGGGGACCACAATTCCCATCATCTCTGACCACTGGTCCTGTTAGCTAGGGATGATGGGAGTTGTAGTCCAAAAACAGCTGGGGGGCCAAGTTTGGCCACCACTGGCTAAGAGAAGGGCCAGCATCCTACAGCCCAAATCCACCACTTTCCCACTGTACCACAGACTCTCATTGGGTATCGTTTAAGAAGTCAATACCGAGGAAATAATCACATTCATCAGCTGCAGCTTTAAGCTGCACGGTCCATGAAAACTGGCTTTTCAAGTTTATATCCAAGGAAGATGGATTTTAAGGCTTCTCAGTAGTTTGGTGGATTTCGGATGTTCTCTTCCCTCCTGCTCCTCCTCTCCTTTTTCAATGCTTCCCGCAGACTCAATACATCCACGTTTGACACGCTGTGCAGGTACAGATCTTAAGTTCAAAGAGATACTAAAGAAGGATTACAGCACCCAAGGCAATACTGCAGTATAAATTCTCCTCACAGCTTCCAGCAACTCTCATTCCCCTGACAGCAGCAAGCAGGGCTAGTATAGCACTGGAATGCTGATCCTTAAAGGTGCTGAATGGCTAATATGATGATGATGATGATGATGATGATGATGATGAAGCCTTTTTGGTATGATAGCCTCTCTTCCCACAGGGTCCTCCTGGGCTACCTAGGACAGACAGAAATAAGTACAAGAGCCCCAAAATACATGCTATTTCTAAATGCAAACAATGGGTTTGCCATGTATTGATCATAGAGATAATTATGTACAAAAACTGGGTTGGCTGCATTATCTAGACATCACACAGGAAGATAGTTTGCTGCTAATTATAAATGTGACATTAATCAGGGCAATTTGTATAGAAATAACCCCAAGGGCAGAAGGCAGTTTCTCCATGTGCTGTAGAGGGAAGAGACGGGGCTCATCAACCTGGGAAGGGAACCTGCCTAGAAGGAAAACACTTATTCTAAGCCTCTGCTGCATTGTGGGATATCTTGGGGAGAAGAAAAGGCCATGGAGTAAACCCTACACAAACCCAAAGTAGAGTACAGAGTGCTTTTGGACTACAACTCTCATCATCCTTAGCTAGCAGGACCAGTGGTCAGAGATGATGGGGATTGTAGTCCCACTGTTTGGGGCACACTGATAGAAGGCACTCCCTGCTACAGAGTGGACAAGGGCAGACCTTTGAACCTCCAGATGTTGCTGAACTACAACTCCTATCATCCCTACCTAGTGGGGCTAATGGGAGTTGTAGTCCAACATTTTGAGGGCCACAAGATAGCCAGTCCTGCACAGAACTCTGGAATAAATCAGGAGCCTGAAATTCAACTTCATGTTTTGAATCCAGGCTGCTATAAGTCCACTTTCACATTTGATTCTGGCATAAAATGTCCGCTCTGATTCAGCTAGATTATAAAAGCAAACGCAATGCCATCTCAAGCCTCTCTGTTAATCAGTAACCACCCTGCTAGCTGCAAACAGTCAGAAAGCACTGCAGCTCTACTTCCTGTTCTGGCACCTGGGCAACTCAGGAAAGGGCTGCCTGCACTGTCATAGAGAGATTGCAGTGCCAGAGAAGGGAGAACAACTCGTCTTAGTAATGAATGCGCTCTGGCATAGCCTGGTGAGAAAAGCGTGTGTCACATGGGCATGATCAAGGTGGAATCGGACTTCATTTTATTAACCTCAAGTGTCCAGCTTTCATATTGCCCGTCTTGCTTTGGAATACAGCTTCCTTCTGCCACCTGCTGGTTGAAGCCCAGCCAAAGCAACATTTAAAAAGGTAAAATGCAGAAAGTCAGTTGCAACAGAGCCTTGCTGAAAGTAACAGGACAGGGCTGAACCGAACAACTACCGTATTTTTCGCTCTATAAGATGCACTCAACCATAAGATGCACCTAGTTTTTAGAGGAGGAAAACAAGAAACAAGAAAGCAACACAAAGCCTCTTGAGCGAAGAGGCAGGAGCACTCCGGCTGTGCTCAGGAGGCTTTGTGTTGCTTTCACTGAAGCCAGGAGAGCAAGAGGGATTGGTGCGCACTGATCCCTCTTGCTCTTCTGGCTTCAGCGATAGCTGCGCAGCCTGCATTTGCTCCATAAGAGGCACACACATTTCCCCTTACTTTTTAGGAGGGGGAAAGTGTGTCTTATAGAGCAAAAAATACGGCAACTTATTGCAGTAGGGCTAGGGCTGCAATACCTAGAGTGTAAGACACTTTTAATTTCATGGAATCATTTATGAAACTTCTGGGTAGCACAAAAACCCAGAAAACTGAAAGGGCTGTCCTTGTAGAGAGGAAGAATGCTAACAGGACTTTACACAAAGATCAGCTATCATATAGAGTCAGTTAGAATAAGAAAAATGGCTATAAATCTCCTGACCCTGCCGAAGAGCTCAAAATGCATAGGGCTCTTGATACCTGAATGCTGGCAGCCCCTGTGAGTTTTCTGAGTCAGAATGTATGTGCATCAAGGCTATGCCTATACTTCTCTGCCTATACTTTTCAGTTGGGTAGTCTCAAACACCTCTTAAATACATCTCTATTAATGCCAGGTCTACATAGGGTCACAATGTTCTTTATTTAACATAATTTATCATATTATAGAAACGCTACTCACATATGAGACATTTGAAGCCAAACTTCAATCAGAATGCTTTATAAAGGATTAAGTATTCTAGTGTCAATTTTATCACTGGGATAAGTTTGCAGCATGCTGGACTGCTTTGAACCACAAACTGGTAGAACTTATAATAATGTCATTTCTGTCTTATTATTATTATTATTATTATTATTATTAATTTGTACCCTGCTCATCTGGCTGGGTTGCCCCAGCCACTCTAGGCAGCTTCCAGCATATATAAAAACACAGTAAAACATTAAACCTTAGAAAGCTTCCCTATACAGGGCTGCCTTCAGATTATATAAATGTTATATAATTACTCATTCCACAGGGTGGGTTCCACTACCGAGAAGGCCCTCTGCCTGGTTCCCTGTAGCTTTACTTCCCGCAGGGAGGGAAGCGCCAGAAGGCCCTCAGCACTGGACTTCAGTGTCCAGGCTGAACGATGGGGGTGGAGACGCTCCTTCAGGTATACTGGGCTGAGGCCATTTAGGGATTTAAAGGTCAGCACCAACACTTTATATTGTGCTCGGAAATGTACTGGGAGCCAGTGTAGGTCTTTCAGGACCGGTATTTTATGGTCTCGGTGGCTGCTCCCAGTCACCAGTCTAGCATCCCCATTCTGGATTAATTGTAGTTTCTGAGTAACCTTCAAAGGTAGCTCCACACAGACTACATTGCAGTTGTCCAAGCAGGAGATAACCAGTGCATATACTACTCTGGTGAGTGTGCAGGCAGGTAGGTTCTCAGCCGGTGTACCAGGTGGAGCTGGTAGACAGCAGCCCTGACCTGAACACAGAATTGACTTGCACCTCCATGGACAGCTTTGAATCCAAAATGAGTCCCAGGCTGGGCACCTAGTCCTTCAGGGGCACAGTTAACCCATTCAGGACCAGGGAGTCCCCCACACCTGCCTACCCTGTCTGCCAGAAACAATATTTGTCTTGTCGGGATTCAACTTCAATCCATTAGCTGCCATCCATCCTCCAGACACTCACACAGGACATTCACCACCTTCACTGGTTCTGATTTAAATGAGAGGTAGAGCACAGCAGGGCTGGTTTGCTCCTCCAGCATCTTGAATATTGGCCAAGCTACCTGGAGGGGAGGTGCAAAACTACCATAATGTTCTGAGCCACATTTTGCATTGGATTTTTAAAAGGGGGTGCATGTGACCTGGGTAATGCTCAGGATGGGGAAGGTAGAGCAAAGGATGGATTCTGTTTTCATTGCTGCTCAGGATGCTGAAACAGAGTTGGAGGAACCATAGGAACTCCCAAGTTTTCTTGCTGCCTGTTGTGCTTGTTGCGTTAGAATTCCTCAAGGCTACTGACTGGTAGAGTCAAAGCATTCATAGCATTTTGCAGGTGCAACAGACAAGGATCAAGGACCAGCTCACATCCCAACCACCCCAGTCTGTACAGACACACACACCCCCGCCCATCTGCTTCAGTTTGCTAGGGATGAAACCAGCCAGTGTTCTTCATAAAAATGTTCAAAATCTGCAACCACAGTACAAAATCTGAAAGAACAAGAAAAAAATACAACCAGAATATTTGAAAAAAGAATAAATACCTACTTTATTCCAATCACAGAATCTAGGATTTTAAGCACCAGATTTAAATTCCACCGCTGACAACCCACCTGCTCTCTAATGCCGCATCCATCCCTGATTTAAGAGTCTTTTATGCAAATGTTACAAACTCTCATCTTGTAGGAGCTGGAAAGTGCTGTCAAGACAATCTCCACTTTGAACGTTCTGCTCCAGCGTTATAATTTCCCTGACAATAAAAGAGGCCTACGGTGGCTCTGCTAAGAAAGGGCTGAATTATCACATTTACAGAGTTATGGAAATAGGCATAGCTGCTGTGGAGAGCCATTTACCTCATCAAATTGGGTAATTTAAAGAGCTTGTTGGTGTATCTCAGCACAAAAGCAAGGATCAGGGATGTATGCAAACTGTAATTTCACAGGAGCATTAAAAAAACCCCTCCCAAACCACAGATTGTGGTACTAGATGCATAATTTCGTTTCCTAGGAAACTCAGTTTTCACTTTTTAAAAAAGCAATTTTTTTAGTCTTATGATTACCAGTATTTGTTTGAATGTGTCTGGGCAATGTCCTGGTCAACTTCAGAAAGCAGAAGAATTCCAAACTAAGATTTCCAGTGGTGACAGTCCTCTGAATAGTTCCAGTCCCCTGAATAGTTCCTTGTTCTTCTCATTACTGGCCAAATCAAGTTAAAAAAGACGCGCACACACCCTGCAAAGTATTTTTAGAGCAGAGTAAACATAGCCCTGGTCCACAGCTCAGTGATAAAGCAGATACTTGCATACATAAACTTAGTCCTTGGCATCTTCCACTGAAGGATTTAGATGGGCTGCAAAAGGATCTACTGGGGGAGGATGGTTTAAGGCAGCTCAATATAAGGCAGCTTCTTCATAACAGAAACATTGTATTGGCATCCTTAGGCCTTCTGACTGGCTTTGAGCGCTCACATGCTTTCTTGCGGTATTTGGTTATTTACTGTATCCTAAGATCCAAAGTAGGCATGGCTGCTGCAGTCCCATGTGCTGAAACCAGGAACTTGCTGTAGAACAAGGGTGGTAAACCCATGGGCCAAATCAGGCCTGCCAAGCCCTTTCAAGTGGTTGCTTTCCTCCCCCAGTGCAATGCTGCAAGGGGGAGGAAAACCACTGCCTATGGTCTTCAGAGGTTGGGCCCTTTTTAGGAGAGACAGCAATAGCCCTCAACACTGCGGCACTGAACTGTGGTGGAGAGATTTCAATCTCCCTGGGGAAGTTCAGCCCTGTGACGGGGATGTGTAGTGTGTGTGGCTGTGTACGTGGAAGAAAGCGTGTGAAAGAACTGAGAAAGGGTAAGAAACAGTGGGCCCAGGATGATCATGCCCACTTTGGAGACACCCACTTCTGCTTTCCTCAAGCCCTCCACCAGGGCATGGCCCCTGAAAGGCTAACCAAGAGCGAATGCAGCGAAAAAAGTTGAGCCATCCCTGCTGCGGAAAAAGAAGGTGGGTGAAGAGAGTGTGTACAATGCAAGACCTGCTCCCTCTCCTAGATACGGGGAAGGTGCTGGGAGAGGAGGGACAGGCAAGGGGAGAAGCTTCAGTCACCATGAACCACATTCCTCCCCACCTTTCTACATGTGTGAGATGAAACTGCTGCCATCTAGCCTGACCCTATGTCCATGCCATCTTCCTCGACATGGCTTGTTTAGAGCACTCCATGTCCACCTCTCCAGGCCACAGAGACCTCTCTAGGTCCACCAGCAGGTCTTGGTGACACCCCCGGATGTTCACTGGGTACCTTGCTCTGACAAACTCATAAGCAGCCAGTAGCCTCATGTGGTGCTTGACCATCAGGTACTGGATGACGCAGGTAGGACCCAGGGAGTAGCCATCCCTGCAGTGAATCAGAACCCGCTTCCTCTTCTCCAGCGAGGCCTCAAGGCACCGGTTGATGTCCCAGAAGCATGGCTGCTGCAGAGAAAGGTGCTCCTCCTCCAAAGGCCCCTGGACGTGCACCTTGAGGCGGGACCAGCTATGCTGGGGCCCTCGGCTGCAGGTGCAAGGGATGAAGCTCAGCCTGCAGTCCCTGGGCAAGCTGCTCACGTCAATGATGCTGTCAATCTGGTTCTTGCACAGCGCCTGCCCACTGTAAGCCGCACGGAGGTTCCCCACATAGATGAAGTCTGTTACCCTGGCAATGACCGGCTCCAAGAAACCGAAGCCCGCCTGCAGCTCCCTTGGCTTTGGGTCACTGGCTTCCCCGGATTTGAGACTCCCATTGCAGCGCTTCTTGGAGCTAGAAACAGATGACGGATTGGGACTGAATTCAAAGCCGCCCTTTGGCAGCAACGGAGAAAACAAAGAGTTGGAAGACTTGGGCTTGGATGGAGATCCCGTTGGCTTGGAGGGGATGGATTTGGACGAGGAACTGGGTACAGAGGCACAAAACAAGGATGCCCGTTCCAGGGAACCAGTGCTGCTGGCTGCCCCACCACTGTGGGCTTGTTTCATCTATTTGAAAAAGAGGAGAAAGGTATCAGTTAAGTTCCTACTACTAGATTCACAAACTGATGCAGCCGCATGGCAGACAACAAACTGTGTATTTCCCAACAAATGTCTCTTAGATCATCACTCACCTGAGTATCAAGGTTCTCCAGAGAGACCAAGCCACTGTATTGCCTGGCACTGTCTGATGAGAGGGATAAGCAGAGTGTCTGGTGAGTCTTCATGGGTGACCGAGGCCTAGATGAAGCTTCTCTGTGGACTATCTTTTGTTCCGGCACTTCATTCCTGCTCATTATCAAGTCTGGGCAAGAACCTGCAAGAACAGGATGGTTCCCCCCAAGAACAGATGCTCATGAAATAGCTCCCCTTTGCACAGATCTACAACGTATCATGAATGCTAATGAATTGTGCCTCTGGGAAGAGGCAATTCCTTTCACACAACTCCCACTGCCATTGCTTTTAGATTATATTTTGCCATGAGCACACACACGGCTTTAAGCAGAGCCTTTCACTGGAAGGTAGCTGTCACATCCGTTTCTATAAGCATTCCCTCTGTCTCAGCGTATAAACGTAAAATATGCTAATAGACCACTAACGAAAACAAATTAAAATGATTCATCTACTCCTTAAAATGTGTGAGCTGTATCCTTTGTATGTTCTATTTACAGTACAGCCACTGAACTTAGTGGATTTTAGTGAGCCATGTCCATTAATTTCAATGGGCCCATTCTGAGTAGGACTAACAACCCTGTGTGTTTTGAATCAGCCTGATATTTAAGCACTAGCCTGGCAGTCATAGGTGATCAGGAATTCCATTCAGGTGAGTAAGCAAGCTGGCAGAAAGATGGAGCGTTCCATTGCTCCACTACAACCAGAACAGAACCCAGGCTGGCTGCTGGAAGAAGAGGGAAGCTCCCCTCCTCTGTACCCAGCATAGAAGTGCAGCAAGCTGCCATAGGAGAGACTGAGCTCTTTGTCATCCTCTGCAAGCTGGTAGGTTTGCTTGCAGGCTAGTAACTTTCGTGGGCTTATTTGCAAGGCTGGTTTAAATGCACTTGCAAGGCTGGTTTAAATGCACATTGCCTGTGCCTTCAGCAAAGAGCATGCAGTTAATAACTGTATGATGTGCCACTTGCCTTCCAGAGGCAACATGGAAAAAGAACCACCACTGAGTGTTGTTAACATGGGTGACAGTTATTAGAGGCTCTAGGCCTTAACTTGTTTATGCATTAAAATTAATTAGTAAATAGCAGGATCTGTTCATACTGAAAGCCTGAGAATACCTTGATCCTACAAATGAGTGTAGCTGTGACAGAGGACAAAATGGCTTATGCCAAAGCAACTCCTGCAGCACCCAAAGCTTTTCCCAGTAGCACAAATCCATCCTGCTAGGCTGCTAATCCATTGCAATCCAGTTACAAAAATCCACAGCCAAACATGCACAGTTAGGCTACGTATTCTGTGCTTCAAATCAAGCAATTTGTTGTTAATTTGGAAGATGCTCTTTTCTACATGCTTATACAACAGAGATTATTCCAGGTAAAGCAGCACTTATATTATAAGATTGCTACTTTGAGTGAGGTCTGTTGCAGAAAAGCAGGAAATAAATGAAGTAAATAGGGTTGAGTCCAATTCTGCTCTTCCACTGCTTGCAGAAAGGCTTTTGATCCAGCAGACGCTGGAAAGGTGGGAAAGAAGCAATTCTCACCAATCCTTCCTGCAGTCCTTGAAAAATCTGGACCCTCCAGAACAACATGGAAGGTGGCAGGGGTTAGAAACGGGGAATCCACAAAAATCACCTTCACCTTTCACTAGTCTGCTGAATCAAAAGCCCAAGGAGAAAGCCACAAGGGGATCCAACAACAAATTCTAGCTGCTGAACATGCACAGGCTATCATCTTTCCTCCCCATAAGAATCCAATGTTTTGCTGTGTGGCCAGCAGCTCTCCATCAAAGACAATAGCTACTTTTGCCCTATTCATTGGATTCTGCATTAAGAGTTGTGAACAAATTCTGTACCCTGAAAAAGTATATCTGTCCAACCTGTCTCATTCATGCAAAGTATAGAGATGTGCCTATATTTCCTTGATGTGCATGATTTGTTCTCACAGTCACAACAAATGGTGTCACCATCGTTCAAATGTTCCAATTCTTTCTTACCGTCCAGATTCAGTTTCAGTATTCAGTCCACAGGCGCAGAATACAAAAGCAGATAGTATATTGGAATGCGCCGCACACTTCACCTACCTGTACAGTGTTGGGAAAGTGCCACGGGGGAAGACAGGCGCAAGGCCTTCCAAAGGTGCTTTGTAAGCAAGCCTGGAAATTGAGAGAAAAATGCATGTTGGCAAGGAATGGCTTATCAGATAACATCAAAAGTAAAAATAAAAGCACATGTTAAAGCTGATGCATGCAACATGTGAGCTACCACCCCAATCCCGTGCAATGCTTATGGTTGACAATACTATTACCGTTTAGAACATATTGAAGCACCTAAAAAAATCTAAGAGCTGTGCAAATGAGTCCTATGTTTGCTGTGCAAGGGACATTTCGCCACAGCAATGTAGTGGCCACGGTGTTGCATTAATGCAGCAAAACACTTGGGATGTTGCACCAGGGAAGGTATTCCAGAGACTGCACTGTAAGACACTCCTTCGTGTGTTTCCTCCTTGAGAGGTCCGGATGGTGGCAACAAGAGAATGGGCCTTCTCTGAAGTGGCTCCCCATCTGTGGAATGCTCTTTCCAGGAAAGTTTGCCTGGTGCCTTCATTATACACCTTTAGGCGCCAGGCAAAAACGTTTCTTTTTAACCAAGCCTTTGGCTGACCTAATCAACATCCTATACCATTTAAAATGTGGCTCTTTTTTGGGGGGGGTGTGTTATTGGATTATTGTTTTTATTTTTATTTTATATATTGTGATCTTTTTTGTGGACTGCCCTGAGACCTCCGGGTATAGGGTGGTATATAAATTCAATAAACGAAAAGAAATACTTTGTACAAGGCAGAGTCTCTGTAAGAGGGTCGATACAATAAGCACAAGACTTTCCATGTTGACATGAAGAGAGATTGCCTAAAATGGCACTTATGCATTGTATCAACCACAGAGGATCAACTCAAAACATTTAGAGCAAGAGTCAAGGTTCATAGTCCGAACAACTCCCCAGTACCATGGACAGGCATATAATGATGCTACAAAGATGTGGAAGCTTTGGTTCTATAAATTGGATGGCAGCTCCTATCATCCCTGACTATAGGCCAAAAGGCTGAGGTTGATGGGAGCTGGAGTCCAACAGCACATAGAGGGCCACAGGTTCCCTATCCAGGGCACACACAACAACAGAGGTCAGTGAGATGCTTCCAGGAAGTCTACAAATGGGGCATGATGTGGGAAGCATCCAATGAACTCAGAGAAGAAGGCTCCAGATTCAATCCTTGGTAGGATCTCAGCCCAAGGAAGACCTCCACCTGAGACCCTAGAGAGCCACTGCCATTCATAGGAGAAAACAGTGAGCTACACATGAGACATATGAAGCTGATTTCTACTGAGTCAGACCATTGGTTGAAACTGTCTGCACTGACTGGCAGTACCTCTTCCAGATTCCAGACGAGTGTCCTTCTCCATCTGATCTAGAGATGCCAGGGATTGAATCTTTGCATGTCAATGAGTTACTTGGCTCTGTGGACCAGTGACCTTACTTAGTACTAGGAGGCTTCATCCTGAAGAACCACGTGTCCATGGCCCTCCATGGGGCAGGGACAGAGAAAGGGAGAAGAAGAAATGGACTCACACAGGGAAACAGGCTATTGCCACAGATCCAGGCAAGTTATCTGAACAACAGGATGCAGATTGGGTGTGCTGGTGTGTTTCAGCATGTCTTTGTGCAATAGAAGCCCTTTGAGGGTACCTTTAGAACTGGGTCTGTCTCTCTTCTCTTACTTACCTGTAATCCCACTTTTCCTAGAATCTGGTCCTTTGTTCATCATTATGCCTGCCGTTGACTCCATGGCATCCAAATCCGAAATATGGAAGAACAGATGGGCTCTAGACTCTAAACCCGCAGCAGGACAGCTCAGATTTACAGCAGGGCATAGAAGATCTAGCCTACTGGGAGAAGACAAAAAGGTAGAATGGCAAGTTCATATGCAAAATCCTTTGAAGGGTGGTAATGAAACAGTTCAAGTGTGCATGCTGAACAGAAGCAAGCTTGCATGCTCCAGAGGTGTCAAACCAAATCTGAATGGAAAACTGGACCAAATTGTTATTCTTACCAAAATTAGAAGAGAGTAAGTAATCTATTACAGTGGTACCTCGAGTTACAAATGCCTCAGGTTACAAACGCTTCAGGTTACAAACTCCGGAAGAGTTACCACGAGTTGAGAATTTTGCCCCAGGATGAGAACGAAAATCGTGTGCTGGCAGCACAGCGGCAGCAGGAGGCTCCATTAGCGAAAGCACGCCTCTAGCAAAGAACAGTTTCAGGTTAAGAACGGACCTCCGGAATGAATTAAGTTCGTAACTAGAGGTACCACTGTATTTGAAACTCGTCCCCAACCGAAATGAAGAAAGCAGCAAGTTGCTTCTTAGAGTTCTAAAGTTCCTCATGTTGTGAAAACATGCCAAAGTATATATCCATATATGGGCACTAAGATCATATAGGCACGAGAAAGCATTATATACCTTATGCCTGGGGAAAGTCGCAATGAAGGGGAAATGTGGCATTATTAATTGAAATATTCAGGGGAGCTGTCTGATTATTAAAAGTAGCTTTAAATGCTTGCAAGAGGAAGTTCTCATCCCTGGAAAATGATGACGTTGTTTGTGAGCTGTAGCCCTTTTGGAGTTCTTGAATAATTATTCAATAATTGTAATAATTTTAATCCCTAACACCACTTGTAGACAATGCTGTATCTCTGGCTGTGGAGAGTCCCCATCAGTTCAGGGTGCAGCTGTAGCTGGCTTCTAAGAGCCAGCCTGAAAGCATGTTGCTCCAAAGCATTAGAAAGAGGAACTCTGACAGCACAGAAGTGGATGTTGTGTAGGCGGGCAGGAGAATATCAAGCAATGATCCAGAATCAATATAATGTCTTCTTTCCCGAGTTATCTCCCCTGCCCCCAATGCTCCAGCTTTCACTGCACAATGTCGGCTTCTCTGTCTTGTATATTTAACCACCATCCGGCATGATGTTATAAATGTTCCACATTGAGATTAATCACCCCACATCAAATGCGCAAACTGGCACTGTGTTGTAAATGATGTTTACACATTCCCACACAAACCAGAACACGTTCGGAGGCAATCTCCGATTACTTGATATTGGCACACACGCAGGAGCAGAAGGACGAAAGGTCACCGCTTGCTTGAGACCACCCCACATGACCCTTGGGGCTGGGCTACCCACATCTTGGTCTCATCCAGAAGACAAGAGCATAAAAAGAGCCCTAATAGACCAGACCAAGGACCAATCTCCTCCAGCTTCCTATTGGCCACAGTGGCCAACCAGATACCTCAGGGGAGGAAGGATATGAGGGCAATAGTACCCTGGCTACTACGGTTGTCCCCCGCCCCCAATTCACCCCAGCGACTGGTATTCAGAGGCACTGGGGTCCTATAGGAAAAATGGCAACGTTGGTGCCCCGGTCCTTTCCCAGAGCACCACAAAGGAGGAAGTTTACGAGCGCACACAATAAAGCTCACCAAGGGAAAGAAAAGAGAAAGATATGAGCTATTCTGAGACATCAGACGTAAAACAAACAAAGCAAAACTAACAATAAAAGAGTCCGGGGTCTCCTGGGGCGGCCAGCTCCCCCTCCCTGACCCCATAGCCCACTTCCGTGGCAGAGGCCACGCTACAAGTTCTGCCCGCCGGGTCCCCAGCGCGCCCCTCTCCGCCCGTCGGGCAGCCCCACATACGCGGAGCCGGGGCTCGCAGCTTCCTTTCTCCGCCTCGACGGGAAGTGGCGCCGCGCTCTTCAGCAGAACTTCGGGCTAAAGTTCTGGCTGCGCTTCCAGACGGAGCCCTCGAGGATCGCCCTGCGCTGCACCTGCCAGGAAGGAGCTCCGCGCCCCGAAATCCACGCCGGACTCTCGGCGCTTCCTAGCCATCTCTTGGCGAGGGAAAGAAGGGGGGCCGCGAGGACCGTGCAAGGGCAGGATGGGAAATGTAGTCTGCGAGGCGCAAGCGGGGCGCCTCCGCCTTCCCAGGAACGCCCCTCGCCTGCCCGCGGTGGGCGGCGAACTTGGCCCGCCCCCGCCCCCGTGGTCGTGTTCCGCGTCTGTTTCGCTTTCAGCGCGTGCCACGAAGTGCTTGGCAGGCAGATCTTTTCTCTAGCTCAGAGACAAGGCTGTAGTTGGGGGCGGGGGGGGGGAGAGATCATCTCGGAATCATCTGTCGGATCGCTCGTATTTAAATAAATCCAAAGAACACACTGTGCATTTGCAAAGCGTCCTGTGGGTGGATCTTATTGGTTTGTCTCTTGTAACTCTGAGATGATGGGAAAAAATGCTGCTGTATCAATCTCCTGAGAGCAGATGGGTGTTCGACTAAGATTGACAGTACTGCCTTTAGGTGGTGTATGTGTTTGTGGGGATGGGGATGGGGATGGGGATGGGGATTTCCACCCCCTCACTAATTATGGCTCCTGTGAATAGTCACTGTGCTTACTGCACATGTATTTAAACTTTAATTGTATTTTCATCCTGTAATTTTTGCATATTATTGCCATTTGACTCTATCTCCATTTTTTCACACATATATACTGTGTGTGCGCACGCACACATTTGCCAACTGAGAATAACATGTCATGCATCTGATGCTATTCTCACCAATTGAGAATAATATTTATGCAGCTGGTCCATAAAAACTTTTTCCAGAACAAATTTGTTAGTCTTTAAGATGCTACAGTACTAGCCTTAAGGATTCTTTGGTGGAAAGATAACAGAGTTATAGCCACTCTGACAACCCGGTTGCTGGTGATGTTTCCTAGTTCTGTGTATTGCAGGTAATTAAAGTATCGGGGCCAGATACTCTTACTTACAGTACATATAATTACAACAAAATTGTTAATGTTTTACTGATTTTCACTAGAGTGAAAAGCTTGGGTATCTATATAGCATGGTTAAATAGCCATATGGGCTATTTTGTAGGGCTGTTTACTAGATGAAGGATATTGTTTCTCCCTACATATATGGATTGCAAATAAAGAGCATGCCATTTTTTTTTATCAAGGCATATTCGGCCATGGTATCAATCAGAGCAACAAAAGATTGCTATCACATTTGAAAGCTTAATCTCACAACTTTCTCCATGTGGAAATTCTGGATGTTATTCTGTCTTATTGTGTTATAAAATATGTGCATTCATTACATATAAATGTAAAAGTATGCTTTCTGAGTTGCAGGGAAATGTATTTTTAGAATGATTTATTTGGTACCACATTTATTTTACACAGATAACTGTCCTTCATGGTAAATAGTCTCTGTTACCGCTGTTTTGCATCAAAAGGAAGCCTTGTTGAGTTCAAGGTCTCTAAGTGTGTTTATAGATTTGTAGGCTTAATTCAGCTACTAGCCTTATACTGCAGTCCTAGACCCACTGACCTGGGAATACTTCTAAGTACAGGATTATGCTCTAAAATACACAGGAATCCTGCAGTTCAGTTTGGTGGCTGAGCAAAAACATTCAGTTTGATTCTTGGCCATATTTCAAGGTCGGCTAAACAAGTAGGAGGCAGCATTACAATGATGCAGATCAGTTTCCTCATTCTTCTTCAGGACTCCAGCTGAGAATGGCTAAAAGAAAATATACATAATGGCACTTACCTAGCTTTAAAAGCAGGAGTGTCGGAGACTGATGAACTGGTTTTTATTTTTGCTTCCTTGTTGCTAAAAACTTGCCAGTTTGCAGCTCCTGCTGGGGCTGCTTGAATAAATCAAACAGCCAAGCAGCCCCAGTCATTTATGAAGGGTCTACTCCTCCACAGAGCCAATTGCGATTGGTGGACCACTGCTCATTTTGGGTATCCAAGATACTGCTCTCTATATGATGGCAGACGTCACTGCCTGAGATCCAGAAACAGAAAGTCTTTGCTTGCTTGTTCCACAAATAAGAGGAAGAACCTGTTTTTAATATCATCTCACAAATCCATTTGTGGACAATAAACCCTGCAGGGATAGCAAAGAAGTAGTACCAGGGGTAGGAACAAGATAGAGTGGCATAATGCTGAGCTACACTTGACTTACAAAGAGGTTAGTAGCAGGAGGAATCAAGATCTTCTCCTAGTTATTGCAGCATTTATTGACACACTTGATAGTAGTGGCAGGTGGCAATTGCAATCCATACATGTCTCTGGCAACGTAAGCGGCAAATGTACCCAGCTGGAACAAAATAATGATATAGCATGCTCCTTTGTGTCACACTGAGCATGTTTATTCTTTATTGGCCCCAAACATAATAAATTGAAACCATAAAGATTTATTTGTCCCTCCCTGCTTGCCTGCTTGCTTGCTTGCTTGCTTGCTTGCTTGCTTTTGTTGCTGAGAATTCACACACAGATCTTGTTTCAGATCCCCATAACTCGCAAATCAATAGTCAATTGTAAATCAATAGTCAATTAGTTTTTGTTACAATTTACTTTTGATTTGCGAGTAGGGACCACTCCCACTATTGAAACTTATATTGGCCAGAGTTCTTGGTGTGCTTTTTTCTTGGTATACTCTAAGGAGCAGGCACACATAACCTGATTATTACAGAAAAAGAACTCCATGCAGCTCATCATTAAACTGTGAACTCTCTCCCACAGGAGGCAGTGATGACCACCAACTTGGATGGTTTTAAAAGAGGATTAGACAAATCGTGGAGGCGAGGGCTATCAGTGACTACTAACCATAATGGCTATGCTCTGCCTCCACAGGCAGAGGCAATAATGCCTCTGGATACCAGTTGCTGGAAACCACAGGGAAGGAAGAGTGCTCTTGTGCTTGGGACTTTCTTGTGGGTTTCCCTTAAGCATGTGGTTGGCCACTGTGAGAACAGGATGCTGGACTAGATGGGCCATTGGCCTGATCCAGCAGGCTCTTATGTCCTCTGAAAAACCTGTCTAAAATACCTAGCAGCAATGTTGAAAGGAGAAATTATTTGATTCCTTCGATTTAACCTGTCTCTTTTTATTTAGCAAGCTGTTTGTTAGTAGCTATATATATATACAGTGGTACCTCGGGTTAATAACTTAATTCGTTCTGGAGGTCTGTTCTTATTTGAAACTGTTCTTAACCTGAAGCACCACTTTAGCTAATGGGGCCCCCTGCTGCTGCCACGCCGCCGGAGCACGATTTCTGTTCTCATCCTGAAGCAAAGTTCTTAACCCGAGGTTGGCAGAGTCTGTAACCTGGGTTGGCGGAGTCTGTAACCTGAAGCGTATGTAACCTGAAGTATATGTAACCCGAGGTACCACTGTATGTGTATATATATATATTTATATGTGTATATATATATATATATATATGCGCATGTGTGGGCATGTGTGGGTGTGTTCCCTCAATTTTAAGATTGTTAACATGGGCAATGAGCATTGATTGCAAATATGTTTATAGGCCCGGTGGAAATTCCTGCTCCACACATGTCCACACATGGCCTTCCGCACATCCTGTTAGTAGCACCTCTTTAAATTCAAGCTAGTACAGCCTTGTGAATCTTGTGTGCGTCTCTTCGTCATGATGAAACAGTGACTTCTGGATTCCATGGTGATGGGTTGTAGACACATACACACATTTGGATTCCCACTCATCCAAGATAAATATCCTTTAGAGTCTAAGTTCAAGCAAAGAGTGATCAATATTCTCCTTCAGAACACTTTTGACTAAGTGATCATGATGCTACACTGTGATTTCTGCTACCAGCTGCTCCTTTGCAAACTTTTCCTACTAGCCAAGCGCATTGGGGTTATCTTCTCCAGTGGAGAGGTTTGTTTTGTTCTTAGCTGTTCGGTAGTGGCAGCTTGAAGCGAGTCTTCAGTCCCAGGGTTTTGTCAACGTCTTCCGCAGGCTGCAAGCTGTGCCACTGTGCCACAGGCCTGCGAGGGTTGGCCAGCATATCCGACCAGTGACGTAGCTGGTTGCCTGTTGCTCGGCAGCTGAGAAACAGCTTCCCAATCTGGTCATCTTTGGACACTTTGTCACGATCCCAGACAGAAATCACCAGGTCCACATTCTGGGAAGAAGACACAAAGCAATGAGATGAGAGGATAGAAAGAAGCAGGGGGCAGTATGGAAGCTTTGAGGAATATGTATTCTTTTCAGGAAGCATACGCCCAGTGTGGACCTCCAGGTACATTAAAGTAGTTTTAACAATGAGTGGGGAGAGCTTTATCACATTGCAGACACAATGTACCACATATTCTCCTCTTCCCATAAGGTTGCCTCTGTACTGTTATGCTCTCTAGATCAGGGATCAGGAACCTGTAGCCCTCTTATGCCCATCAACTCCAGCCAGTATGGCCAGAGGGACGGTGGGAGTTGTAGTCCAGCAACATCCGGAGGGCCGCAGGTTCCCCATGTCAGGAGCTCATCCTACTCTTGAGTAGGACCCTGGCAGAGACACATGCCCGACTGGCATGTTCTCTCCCTCCTAGTTGATCATTCGGGAGCTCCATAAGCTTTCTTCTGCTCGAACATCACAGCGACCAATGCCAACAGACATCGGCACACTTAGGGATCTGCAGAGTCTTTGCAGCTTGTGTAACAGACCTCAGCAACTCAGCATTTTGGCTAATCTACTTTATTTAAACACACATGGAGCACTGCAACATGGCTCCCTCTCTCTCTAGCATCAGACAGCAAAGAGAGAGAACAAAGGACAATAGTCCCACTTCACGGAACACAGCAACACTGTCTCCATCCTGTCTCCATCACGTCCCACTCTGTGGAGTCAAAACATATACCGTCATGTGATAGACAACAATCCCATGACTGCAATCATGGAGCAGGAATTCTAACACTGCACCCCTGCTTTGGATGTTATAGTAGTGGCATGGAATTTATCTATTTGCACTGTGGGAAATGTTTAAAGGCCACCATCACGTCATTAGTACCAATTATCACCCAACTGTCATTACCATCCAACTGTCAGCCCCAACCCCAAACAGGAAACAAGTGCATCGTAAGAACCTGTGCATTGGCCATGTCCCCATGGTGTTAGGCCTTTAAACTTTGCACCAATGCCATGGGTTGAATCCATGGAAAAGCAGCCCCCATGATGCTGCAGAATTCATATAAAGCTGTCTTGCCATTGGTCAGGCCCTTGGTCCACCTAGCTCAGTACACTGGTTGGCAGCAGCAGTGGCGTAGCGTGGGTTGTCAGCACCCGGGGCAAGGCAAGTAATTTGCGCCCCCTAACCCGTGGATTTTAGCAGGGGGCAGAGAGCTGCGAGTGCGAGAACGCCCCCCCCCCAGATGTTGCGGCCAGTGCGGCCGGCCCCCCCTACACCCCCCACGCTACGCCACTGGGCAGCAGCTCCTCAGAGTTTCAGACGGGTCTGTCCTAGCCTGCACGCAAAGCAGATGCTCCACCACTGAGCTACAGCTTTGCACCATTAATGCAAGTGTTGTGTGGCTAGATATGAATATGGTGTTGAGATTCTTTTATTTGTAAGTTTTGTGTAAGTTTTCCTATGTGCAAACCATTATGAGCCTTTGGTAGAGAAGGAGAGGCTCAGTAACAGATATGAAAGAGCAAGAACAGCTGTAGCCATCAAAGCTTATTTCAGTGTAACAAGAGAAGTGCTCGTAGCAGATCCTCTGCAGAGGCAACAAGCAAAGATGTCTAGGTTAATGCTAATTCCCTAGAAACATGTGTCTGCCATGAAATGGTGCCCTCTGGACAGAGGAAACATACCTGGATCAAGCTGAGGGGCACTTCAAAAACAAATGCCTCATTGAAGTAGGGATGTAATGTGTTTTTCTTCACACTTGTCTTCTTCTTCTTCCATCTCTTTTTATTCAGAATAAGCTGCACTTTGACATAGGGATCTGGGATGGAGGAGGGAGAGGGGAAAGTCAGAAACTGTTGACAGTCTGAAGAAGGATTCTACCATATATATTACTACAATATAAGGGGGCTGTACTGAATAAGGTCTCATTCTTTTGGACTTTCATCACACATCCTAACTCCGGAGCAGGGAACTTGTGGCTCTCCAGATGTTGCTGGACTCCAATGCCCATCAGCCCCAGAAACGCTGCAAGAGATGATGGGAGTTGTAGTCCAGCAACATCTGAGGGGATGCAAGTTCCCCACCCCTCTCCTAGCTCACCACTTAGCTTTGCCAGCAGCTAGTGGTACAGTGTCTAGGACTCAGTGTTGGGTTTGGAGTAGGAACCCAGGTTCAAATCTCTTGCTCGTGAAACGTGTTGAATGGTCTTGTTGAGCCTTGGATGCAGCCTGTCCTTCCTTAAAGGGTCATCTTAAGACTAAACTGCTGTTCTGATATCTTTTGGAGGAGGCAGGGATAATTCCTTGCTAGCTTCTAAAAAATAAGACTCACTCGGATTTGACACAGTTCCCTTATCTTAAGATGTAAATCTTTGCCCTAAAGTATTGTTCCAGCAGCGTGATCTGAATATCCGCAGCAGCAGACAAGCACATTCTCTGTCATGGCACAAGAGATAGGTGTGCAGCTCTTATGATCAAGGCATCTTTCCTATTTTCAAGGGCAGTGGGAAGATAGCTGGCAAGGTGTCCTCCAGGTTGTAGTAGGTCAAAGATGATCCTAGCCTTCCAGACTTTGTTTGAGGGGCCCCTATATCTATTTCACATCCCTTCACTTTGAACAGTGAGCTCCAGCTATCCTTTCCCATTACCTGACAGGCCGTGTGCATCCATCCGCTTGAGCTTTTTGGCTTCCACGATGACCACAGTTAATTTGCTGGTGCTGGGAACATATCGGAGTGAGAAGCAAATCTCCCCAAGGCGCTCTTGCTGTTACAAGAAGAAAAAGGCAGGAGGAAGGAGGAAGATTAAATATAAAATTTTTCAACCCACTGACAAACTAAGAGCAGAAACTGAAGGCCCAATTGTGGAGTGTCCAAGTCTCAAAGCTCCCTGGAAGCCATGATCACTGTCCTTCAAAGTCCTTTCCCTGACCTCAGAAGAAGATAGGACAGTTGTGATGAGACGGAGATGAAAGAAGGGCTCTCCTACTATGCACAGAGATGCCCTCCTCTCAAATCAAATTGATTCCATGCCATTTCCCTCCAATCTAAATGGACCCTCCTATGAAGCTGTTATTAGCCACACCGGGGGGGGGGGGGGAATTACAGGAAGGAACCAAACATGTACTTGTCTCTATCTGCTACCTCAGGCAGGGCTGATAGCAGTTTTGGCTAAGGGGGTGATTTAATTCAAGAAAATGTCATGGATTCCCCTTTGGCAGCACCAGTAACTCTGATCAAAACTGAAGCAGCCCATGGCTATTTAAAAGTTGGGCGGGATCGCCCACATGACATCTGTATTGGCTGGAATCACTATTTCATGTGGGCATTTAGAGAATAATACTGCTTCTGTTCTAAGGGCATGTACAAGCATACCTTTAAGGGGTGGGGGGGAAAGGGGTTGCCATATAGTTTTCTTCCACAATATGAAAATGATTTTTTCCCTGTACTTCAGAGCAATTTTGAATGCTGATTCAACCATCTGTCTTGTCATTCCCCACCCCCAGGCAAGAAGCCTGCCTTCCTATTATATCAATATTGTACCACCTGCTAGTTTATTTCATGGAATGTTCTTTCATTGCTTTGATTTTTATTTATTTAAACAAACCACAATATGTATTTTTAAGTTGAAACACTTTCTTGGGAATATGGGTTTGCGATGTCACAGGAATCATTCAATCACCACTGTGCACGAGGAGCTTCTGCTACAGACCAAGAGAATCAGTGTTCTCAGAATTTGATTCTAAAGGAAACAAGGACCCCTCCAGACATCCTTTTCATTGTGTATTGAGGATGAGATGTGGTATCAGGGTGCCCATGTATGATTCTGCTTTTAATGCTGTTTCCTCCTGCAAAAGTTTTGCTTCATTTTTTAGCATGTAGCATAGCTTTCTGTTGACATACAAGTAGCTTTTCACAGCAGAAAAATTCCTTTTGGGGATGGGGGTGTCCATTGTTGTTGTGTTACAGTGCCCCTCCAGATGGCAATACAGTCGTACCTTGGTTTTTGAACAGAATGCGTTCTGAAAGTCCGTCTGACTTCCAAAACATTTGGAAACCAAGGTGTGGCTTCCAATTGGCTGTAGGGGTGTCCTGCAGCCAATCAGAAGCCTCAGAAACCTTAAAAGCTGTGGTGGACGTTTGGCTTCCGAGGCAAGGTTTGCAAACCAGAACACCTACTTCCAGGTTTGCGGCATTCAAGTTCCAAGTTGTTCATGAACTAAGCTGTTAGAAAACCAAGGTACAACTGTACTGTAATAACATTGGGGAAGCATAATGGAACAACTGATAAATGGGAACGGCATGTGTATGGCCCAGTATAAACCCACCCTAGTGTACTATTATTACATCAAGGTCATGTTGCAGAATAGGTAAAGGGACCCCTGACCATTAGGTCCAGTCATGACCGACTCTGGGGTTGCGGCGCTCATCACGCTTTATTGGCCGAGGGAGCCGGCGTACAGCTTCCGGGTCATGTGGCCAGCATGACTAAGCCGCTTCTGGTGAACCAGAGCAGCGCACAGAAACACCATTTACCTTCCTGCCAGAGCGGTACCTATTTATCTACATGCACTTTGACGTGCTTTCGAACTGCTAGGTTGGCAGGAGCAGGGACCAAGCAATGGGAGCTCACCCCGTCATGGGGATTCAAACCACCGACCTTCTGATCGGCAAGTCCTAGGCTCTGTGGTTTAACCCACAGCACCACCCGTGTCCTGTTGCGGAATACACCCACCCAAAAAACACAATGGTTTGTGAAAAGAGTACATTGGCCTCAGCTTTCTAATTATGTTAGGATACAACAGCTTAGATTGTGCAAAGACTATCTGCTATATTCATTGCTACATAGTGATCTCTAGACCAGGGATGGGGAACCCCAGGTCTGGGGTCAAATGTGACCCTCTAGTCTGCTTTATCTAGCCCTCAAGATTCTCCCCAGAGCACCGCTCTTTGAGTGCTTTGGGTTAGCTGGAAAGTGTCCTTCAACTCTGATGACCCTACTTGCTCGACAGGATGGAGAAAAGTGTGTGTGTGTCTGTGTGTGTGTGTGTGTGTGTGTGTGTGTGTGTGTGTGGAAATGAGGCTACTGTGCAAAGATAGCATTCATGTTTATTGAACTGCCTCTGGCCCCAGCCACCATTGGTCTGTGGAGCCCAGAAGGTTGTTCAGAAGGGAATGTAGCCCCTGGGCTGAATAACATTCCCAACGTTCTGCTCAAGAGGAATATACAAGTTCCACAGCAGTAATCAGGAAATAAGAATTGCCTTGCTAGGGCCAAGATACTATCAAACTCATTTCTCTGCCTACAGTAGCTACCAGCCAGGAACCATGGGGAATTCTCAAGTAGCGCATGATCATTTTTTTCAATTAAAGCTTCCTTAGCCTTTCCTCAACGGTTCGGGATAATAAAGATGTGCTACAGAAAGCCAGTGTGATTTCAGCCTTGCTTTTGCCCTCTGCTGTTCATTGTAAATGCCTTTGGCTATACACAATAAATTGTTTGATTGATTGAGAAAGCCAGTTTTATCCTGAGGCACATTGGCATTTGCTATCACCAAACAATAGGGATTAATCATTGAAACTCGGTTGTCTGAAGGAATGTCATGAGCAATAGATGACATGACTACTGCTCTTTGGACAAAATGGTAAATGTTAATGAAACGCCTGTGGGCATTGCTTCTTACAACCCTTCAGAGTACCTAATGTTCCACTGTTTGGGATACACCTATTCATGTTCGCTTACTCTAGATTAGTTATGTGTTAAATACAATTAAACTATATTTCATAGTCTGAAATAGTATGAATGCAGGATACATGATCACGGGAGAGGTGAGGCATATGGACCCAGAGGGAAGTAGCTACCTTCAGGTTGATTCACACATCCTGCTTACATCTGCCTCTGCACTCAGTGGGCTATGTGCTGACACATTCCCTCCCTTGTTGTTGGTATGCCCTTATTTAGCCCAAGGATGGAGAACCTGTGGCTCTCCAGATGTTGCATCATCTCCTACCATTGGCCATGCACTGGCTGTGACTGACAGAAGCAGGAGCCAAACAACTTCTGGAGAGCCCCAGTGCACCATCCCTGATCCAGCCCTTCCTTGTTCCTCTATATAGCCTCTAGGCAGCGAACTATTGATGAGACAGTTCTCTCTAGAAAGTGTCAGTTCCTAGGAGGCACTTTGCTCCTGTGACTCAAAGGGACCTCAGATTGACATTATATGGCCAGCTCAGCCTGTGGCAGGCACAGGTTTGAGTCAAGGAGGATGTGTGCATTCTGGACAACTTCAGCATGTCTGTACATACTTAGAATTAATGAACAGGCCTTCCTTCCAGACTTTATTATCCAGATATACTAGATATGACCAATATTAGCAGTGCTGTTACAACTGAAAATGGCTCTCTAGCTACTTGTCTGAGCTAGAAGTGATCCAGTTGTCAATCTGGGCACTTCTTGATTAGTTAGTTCTATAAGAGAATGAAAGCAGAAACAAGTTTTGTAAAAAATATCTTAATTTAAATAATAACTACATAGTGTGTGCCTGTTCCCAAACCCTTATGACAATAAGTAGTCGGATATAAAGTTAGAGCTTGGCTTTATCCCAGCGGCATAAGTAAAAGAAATCTCTTGCTGCTGTTGGCAATCCTGCAGCCATGCAGACATTCCTTTTAACAACATCCATTCATTACATCCCCTTCCATGCTTGGCAAAGCCTTGTATTTAAAGAAACAGATTTGAAATATTATATAATACAGAAAAATACATACAAGTATGTACAGTCACTGAGCAACTTCTGCTTGTCCTCATATACTTAAAACTGATGGACAAGGCTTCCTTATATAGGGGTTTCCATACAATTTCAGTCTTGGAACTTATCTTTTTGGAAATTGCATGCTGACCACACCCCTTTTTGATAGTATTCTCAGACAAGGTATTTTAGAAAGTGTTTAACAGCCTATTTACAGGTAGGTAGCCGTGTTGGTCTGCCGTAGTAAAAAAAAAATAAAAAAAAATCCTTCCAGTAGCACCTTAGACAAACTTAGTTGGTCTCTAAGGTACTACTGGAAGGAATTTTTTTATTTTGTTTCAGTTAAAGCCTTTGCTGCTTTGTTTCTGACCATAGCCTCTCCTACACCCCTGGCTCAGCTTTCCATCCTGTTTTGCTGCCTCACAAAAGTTGAATATGCAGCAAACACGCTATGTCATACTTTGTTTTTGAAAACCTCTACAAAACAGAATGGAAAAAAGACTTTGGTTTTATCAGAACCAAAATTAGAATTGATGTTTTGGCACACTGTTCTCAGACTGCAAAGGATTTGCATTCCAACCTACAAAAAAATTAGCACAATTTGCAACATACGCCACCCTGCAAGTGGCAGAAATTATATAACTTCCAGTATGACAAACTCCTTATGTAATCAACTTATATAATGAAGCGTGTATAATTAGAGCATTTTTTGATTGAACCAGTGGCGTAGCATTGGTTGTCAGCACCCGGGGCAAGGCAAGTAATTTGTGCCCCCTAACCCGTGGATTTTAGCCCTCGAGTCTCTTCCACTAGATTGCAAGTGCGAGCGCGCCCCCCCCCCCATGTTGCGGCCGGTGTGGCCGGCCCCCCCTGCACCCCCCACGCTACACCACTGGATTGGACGTCATTGGTCAAATCAGTTGATATTGTGACTAAATGGATCCATTTGGCATTTTCTTTTCACAGAATTTCAAGCTAACAACATACCCTTTTTGTGATGTGATATTTTGATGGAAGAAGTTTCTTTATCCTGTACATTGATCTGTAGGCTTGCCCCAGCAGGTTTTGCAAGGGCATGGGGGAATGAGCAATAACTCCCCTCTGAACATTGTGCAGCCTGGCCCTACATTGTTGCTTCAGCTGGCACAGCAGAAGTGAAAACCTGTGCCAAACTAGCTAAGTTGGCATCCTTGGCAAAGGCAGGTGTTGCTGCACAGCATAGGACTAAGTCCCAACATCAAAAAGCACTGTTGTGTTGTCCATACCATGTTCAGAATCACAGTCTGAGCATATCTGCTCAGTTATCCATGCTCAGGTAACCACCAAGTTAGACAACTGTATGTGCTGCCGCCTTTGAAAACAGCAATTAGTGCAGAATAAGTGGGATTGCAGCTATGCTATGCTAAACCAACTACATAGGCTCCCAGCCTGTTTCCCAATTTAAAATGCTGCTTTTGACCTTTAAAGCACTTCATGGCATAGGATAAGGGTGCTATCTCCTCGTGAACCTAATCATACATACAGATCTTCAGTAGAAGGCTTCCTGTGGCTGCTTATCATCCGAGGACCTGAAAGGGCCTTCTCAGTGGTAGCATCCTACCTGTGGAACACTCTCCCCAGAAAGACTCACCTGCTGTTTGCTTTATTGTCGTTTCAGTGCCTGGCAAAGACTCCTTAAAATTATTTTGCAGAAGTTTTTTAGATGCAACTTTAACACCGCTCACCATTTTGTGCTGCTTTTACCACAGTGACGTTTAGCTTATTTTACTTTTTTGTATTCACATTTGTTTTTTTTATTATTTTTTGTAACCCACTCTGGGAGACACTTGCAATGCCCAGAGGATTTGCCACACTGCTTGATAATACCAACCTCCATCTTGCTGGCTTCAGTGAGCTCCTGCCATTGCTCAATGACGTGCTGCAAATCAACATCACCAAGAGGGATCCGCATCTCACCAATGATGTCGTGCTTGGAGAAGCGGTTGAAATCATACACCTGCATCACCAGTGTGGATTCCGCTATATCTGCCTGGGGTATCTGGCAAGGAGGAAAGAGGGAGAAAGCAAACTGATTTCCAGCTTTTTCCAGTAGGCCCAAATTGCAGGCCTGCCTAAAGTTGTATGGTGGGTGTGGCCATACAGATGCTACTGAATCCCTAGCCTCTGGCCATGCTTGCTGAGGGGAGTTGTAGTTCAGCAACATTTTGAGGACCAAAGGTTCCCCACAGTTATTTTATGGGTTTAATGCAAGAATTATTGTGTTTGATACAGGAATGTCATACTTCAGCATAACAGACTGGGCTGAAAGTCCACAGTGTATAGCACTGTCTCCAACAATGGACAGAAAAATAACCCAAGGAAGATTATAAGCAGAGTATGATGGAAATAACTATCTACTGCCATTTGTCCACACCAACTGGTACTCAGCTCTTGCCACTGTGCCAACGTGGCACCAGCCTGCCTCCCACTTCACCCCTGACCCTCTCAGGAACTGGCCATGACCCCAGTGTTGGGAAGCCAAGTAAGCAATGCGACCCTGCCCTGCCCTGCCTATTGCCAGGTGGAAGACACTGTGCTTGCTATCACGTGAGCTTGAGATATTAGTCTCAACGAGACAATTTGCTGGCCGTTTAAGGTGGTGTAATATCACTCAAGTCAATTAAACTACACCAGATTGGTAATGTTGATTTTTTCTTTTCTTTTTACCCAAGGTCTTTTAACTGATTTTCTGCATAATATAAACAAATCTACATACTGCAATGCTAAAATGGAGCAATGAACTGATTGATAGAGGTGACTACCTCCTACCTTAAAAATGAAGCTCTCATTGAAAACAGGGTTCAGTGTCTTACGGTAAACCTTTGTCTCATACTTCTTCCTCATATCAGATGTCAAGTAGGCAATCACATAGGGATCAGAAGTGCCCCCGCTGTCCATAGCCTTAAGATCTGCCGCCTGCTTCACTCCAACCTTCATCTTAAAGAGAATCAACACCAAAGCATTTAACATCGTAGAATGGCTTACATACCCTTAGACACTGCAGAAATAGGCTACAGCTGGAATGGGGAAACCAAGGCTACATATGGTATGGAAAAGCAGGAAAGTTAGAAAAAACTGTTCGGAGTAGCAGAGGATAGGAAGGAATCAGATGAAAAAATTGCTATTAGGATGACATAACTGATGTAAGCTACGGTGTCATGGACTGGCTCGATGCAGAGCAGTGGGGGGAGGCACCAGCTGGTGAACCCCCAAGGGAACCCTATGGGGAAGAAGGCTCAGAGTCTGGAGATTGGTGGTGGGATGGCGATGCATGGTCAGAGGGAGAAGAGGGAGCAGACTGGGAGGATGAAGAGGTGTCAGAAGCTGAAGAGACAACAGAGTTTAGAGAGCAGGAAGAGGCTGTGGCAGATGGCAGCCCAGAATCAGAGGCAGAAGTAGAAGCGGCCAAGAGGCAGAGATGAGGCAGGCTGCTAAAGAAGACATGGAGTCTCCCCCTCCTGCTGTGACCAGCTCCCCTCCCTTCTGGATTCCCAGAACCTGAAGAGGTATGAAGAGGGTGGAACAAAAAGAGACAAGATGATGGAGCCTTAGGCTGCTGCGGAAGGAACCAGGGGAGGAAAAGACTTAGAGCACGGTGGGCAGGTGGGGACCTTCAATCCTTACAACTGCTTTATTGGGGAAAGACCTACCGGGAAGGGTTGCTGTGACCACTAGGACTGAGTTGTTTTGTTTCTTTGAATAGAGAGTTAACTTCACTGACATCGAGTGCTTATTGTTTTATTGCTGACCTCCTGACTCCAGCTTCGGACATATGGGCTGGGTGAGAATGAAGGAAAAGCCAGCTATACTGACAATGGTTGGGACTGATCATTAAGGGAGCAATTGTAAGCTCCCAGGAAAGGCAGCTGAGGAGCAGTGCCATTAGGGTGTTTACTCTGGCATGAAATCTCCCCACCACCATTTTAGGATTGCTCTGTTTTGGAATGGGTGGGGGTGGATATAAACCTGGTTATGTGAAAATGAAAGATTTTGAATGCTGGAAGGAGGGGGAAAGGAAGAGGTTGTGATAATATAGCTTTATAATAAAAGAGGGTCACAAATATTTACCCTGGGATTTGAGAATCATACCTCCTGGCTACGGAAGTCATACTCCAGAGAATATTGCAGCTGTCCTCGTTTCTCATTCTGCAGTCCACCCTCCAGGTCATCGATATCAGGTTGAATCTATTGTCAAGACAGCAGCACCCTCTCTTTATGGACAACTTTTAGACAGAAGAGTCAGTTTGCTAAGCATATTGTACTTCTCTATATTCACTTGGAGGCAAAATATCAGTTTAAAATCTATAGCTGGTACATTAACAACAATAAAAAATATAGTTGCTGTGAGTGAGCATTAAGGAACAGCCATTTTGGAACCAAGTAGTGAAAACTATAGTGCCAATAGCAATATCAAACGCAAACAAACCAAACAAGTAGACTGCTCTTTCAAGTTGGCTTTCCCCAAATATCACGCTCTGAGAAGATCTCTTAAGAGTTCTTAATTTGCCCCACACCAATTTGCCTCTGCTTTGTGCATAGCATACCCCACCAGGGCACAATTGGGCAGCAATAAGACCTACCAGAGTGGCTTGGGTGGGTGAGCCATTGGTGCTGGGAAAGGCAATTTTCTCTTTCTTCTTGCGTTTCTTCCTACAACAACAGCACTTGATGATGCAGATGAGTAAGAGGAGGAGGACCAGGCCCACTGCGACAGCAATAGCTATGAGAGCCCATCTGGGTACTGTTCCAGCATTAGGAGAAAGAAAGAAAGAAAGAAAGAAAGAAAGAAAGAAAGAAAGAAAGAAAGAAAGAAAGAAAGAAAGGTGCTCATTCTTACTTTCTGTGTAGTGCACATTAATAAAGCATCCTTGCCCAAAAGCAATTTTTGCATTCACATCTTAGATTAGCAAGCAGCCTCTTTGCCCCTTCCTTCACATGATGAGCAAACAAGCCAGGAAGTATTAAATTAACCATAGTTTACTGTTTCATCTGGGATGCAGGTGGCGCTGTGGTCTAAACCACAGAGCCTAGGGCTTGCCGATCAGAAGGTCAGTGGTTCAAATCCCCGACCTGGAAGCTGTCTATGGACAAACGCTGGCTCCCTCGGCCAGTAAAGCGAGATGAGCGCCACAACCAGTCATCCACGACTGGACCTAATGGTCAGGGGTACCTTTACCTTTACCTTTACTGTTTCATCTGGAGCTGGAAACCATAGCTTCCTCGTTCAGAACAAGCCAGGATGTTGAAACATGATTTGAAGTTGACTTAATATGTTAGCTTGTTCCAAAACTGATAACCATGGTTTCCAAATCAGGACAAAATGGGAAAGTATGATTAAGAGACTTCCTGGTTTAATTGTGCACAAACAACAGGCTTTTTCATACCTTGGTTTATTAAGCCAAGATATGCTCATCCAAATGCAGTCAATGTCTTTGGGAATTCTAGTATCACCTCCTAACAGCAGGCAAATTATTTCATTTTTTTCATTTCACCTACTGGCTTATATCCTTCTGCTTTTAGGTCCTGCAAAAAGCAGCAAGCAGCAAACAACTCAGTTAACACAATTTATCAGAATAATCAATATAAAATGGCAAATTATTATTTGATCACACAGGAATGTTGAAATCCAAGCCTTTACAGTCCTATCCATATAGCCACCAGGAAAATAGGGGGAAAAAAATATGGTGCTTTTGTATATCCTTTTAATTTCTGCTCTTCTTCAAGGGGGGAAAAACAGTTCCTGAGCTAATCCCTTTTGTTTTTAATTCTTGTAATGATTACCACCAGATGGCATAGTTACTCCCCATGCTAGTTCCCCTTAGAGGAAACTGTTCTGGGAGAAGTAGAGGAAATTCATTTGTGCAAAATGTGTAATGCAGTCTCCCTCACGAAAGCAGCCAAATAATTTCTTCTCTCACTTTGTGTTGTCAAAGTCAATTTAGAATAGACTGAAAAGGAAATGGAAAGAAACCAACCAATGGGAACACAGTGGTGGCCATAGCTTATAAATGACTATCAGTGATTTGTATGCTCAACTTGACTGTGGGCTTATTCACACTTATCTTTCCTCTGCTCTTTCCAGGCAAGGTCCACACTTTAAAGCTCTGTGTCCAAGCATTGGGGATTTCCCCCCGCTCTGTAGCTTTTCCTGTGAAAAACCACTCTCTGAAGCTGAATTGGAGCAAATGGCAATCCACGGAAAATCCAAATTGCCATTTGTTGCACTTCAGCTTTAGAGAGTGGGTTTTTGCAGGGACAAAAAAAGAGCTTTAAAGTGTGCACCTGTGCCTGGAAAGAGCAGGGCAAAAGGTAAGTGTGTCTCTTCTTGCCAAACATCTTCCTTTTCTTTTTTCTTTTTAGATGATAGCATCACAATTCTCTTTGTTATTCTTATTTGGTGCCTCACATATTTTCAGGGAAATGGGGAGAAGGCATGAGGGAAGAGAAGTGAAAAGAGTGAAGACGAGGCAGGAATCTGACCATCTGAAGGGTTCAAGTTGTCAAGAAGTTGTCCTGAGGCAAAATGTTCCATGATTATTCAATGGCACAACAGCCATTGAAGTGAGCAGAAGTTGCTCAAGAACAATTTCAATTGAGCTTGTGGAGAAGATTTTGCTCTTCTTGTATTCTCCAATGTGTGCAGACCTACACAAAATGGTACTCCATTGTTAAGTGCCTCAAGAGCATATATAGCAAGTCAATGTAGAGAGGAATGGGGTGGGTTTGCATATGTTGAGTTGGTTTGAATTAGCCAATGAAATTACTGTCCTTATGGGCTGCACTGAATTTCCTTAATGAACTGTACAACATGCAGAAGTTCTGGGAAAAGTCAAGTGAATTTCAGTTAAAACACATACACATATTTTGGAAGCTAAAACAGGAAGAAACAACGGCTTCAACTTAGAAAATCAAAATGAGGCCCATGACAAGGTCTTCCAGCAATCCTTTAAACATCACATTTGAGTCCACCCCATCCACCCTTTCATGCACTCACATGGAATTTTGTTGAGAAATTCTTCAATGATACTTGGCTGAGCAGTGGTCACAGCAGTGGTTGCCGTGAGGTTACTGGGGCTGCTGGGTGTAGTGCTGGTGTTAGACATTGTTCTGGCTCAGGAAGGCAAGCTGGAAAAACAAATGGAATCGTTATTTCCTTAAAAAGTTTATGATCTTCCAACCTCACCTATGCAGGTTACAGTTCATAATAAGGGCCTAATTTGAACCAGAAATCAGAAGGCATTTTTAATACCACCTCCTTAAGAAAAGAAAAATAAACAAGTACCACAAACAATCCTTTTGTAGCTACATCTAGCTTTCTAAAGTGTGAAGTAATAATAGAAATCTCCTCTGAGCATGTGCAGAATGGAGGGGGGCATCCTAAGGTCCAATAAGGGAGGAATAAGCAGATTAACTTTTGTGGAAGACTCATTTTCCCCCTTTCCTGATCCACCTCAAAATGGCACACCCCAACACAATGTATGTATTTCTTTGAACTGATATAACTTGGAAGTGGGAATATTTCCAAATTTGAGAAGGGGACTTTTTAAATAAGGATTTTTTCATCATTTTCACATTACTTAGCCAAGTCCTAGCTAATAATACACAAGGAACAAGTAAGATACACAGACTTTTTCCTTCCTTTCTACCTGCCTGCATATTGCCTGTTACCTATTCTGTAATCAGAACAAGGTGTGAAACCCAAACTCCGCCCTGGGAACACACTCACAAGCGCACGTCAAATCAGGGCGGCAGATGCGTCAATGTATTTGCTTATTTATCTTGGCTCCTGTCCCACACCCACTCATACTGAGAGTTAACATTTCTCTAAGCGAGCAAGAAACGCAGCTGGAAATAGCAAGCCATGCTTTCCAATCAATGCAAGAATGGTTCTTAAAACAACATCCCTTACTGGAGATTGCCTCTTCAACTTTCTTTTCAGCAGCTGAAGATTTAAAAAAATTGTAAACACAGATGGTGAGCATTGCACAACACCATCCATTGGGGCCTGCCCTGTGTCTAAGGTTGACACCTTTTTCTTGATAGATGCTCTGTGCTAGGGTTGGAGACCCTGTAGCCCTCCAAACGTTGCTGGACTACAACTTCCATTATCCATTGGCTATGCTGGCTAGGGCTGATGGGAGCTGGAGTCCAACTTGGAGGGCCACAGGTTAGCTGCGCCTGCAATAGGGCCTCCAGAATGCTCCTACGTATTCATAACTGCATGAAACAGATTGTTCAGCTTCACTCATGATTGTGAAAAGCTGATGCTTCCAGGCTTCTCGCTAGCATAACATTACTAAGTACACAGGAACTATCCTTGACAGGGCCAGCCCAAGACATTTTGTTGCCTGAGGCATAGAACAAGATGGTGCTTCCTCCCCTTGAAATGTATTAGGCATCCAGAAGGTTAAAAAACAGAAGGGCAAGAAGCCAAATCACAAGAGACTACGCATTACATGTGATTCCTTTAAGCCGGGCAGCCACAGACTGCCTTGGCTTCCACTTTTGGCCAGGATGGGGGGAGGGGTTCAGAGAAGAGCTGCGCTGACCCAGGTTTGACCTAATATCAGCAGAGGGGTTCCTTTTGCCAGAGTCTGGATACACAGACTTAGCTCGACTGATCTACAGACTACAATGCATTCAGGCAGCTGGGTTTGTTTCCAAAGCATCATCCACTAAAATAAGTAGGGATCAAGTGCTTAAACCTACTCCTTTCATACTAGTGGAGGCACATCCACACCATAACTCACAGGCTTTTAAATCACTTCCACAGGCTGTGGGGCTGCCTCTGGAACCACCAGCTGCAGAGACCTGACCCCACTCCCTAATGCCTTCCTGAGGTGCACACCTGTCTCTTGCCCATCTTTCCAGTCACTTCGGTTGTGGGCTGAATTTTATTTCCCCAAACCCAATCCAGTCTTCCTGCATTCCAGGCACACTCCAGGATAGTCAATGTCTTGATTCCTAGTTCTTAGCTACAGTTTCACCATCCAAGCCAACATAATATAATATAATACATATGCATATAAGATCTAAGTCTGTCCCCCAAGTTTCCCAGTAAAATGCTTGGATGCAGCTCTGTTTGCATCATTATTCTCACCACTACAGCCGATACCTTTACTGCCACTCCACCACAGAAAGAAGTGGTAGGTGGTCCCTGGGTCCTGTTCCCCCCACTTGAAAAAAAATACCTGGGCCTGTGGGGCAGTGCAGTTCACCACTTCCACCATAAGAAAATGTGACTTGTTTCCCACTCTGACATACGTAACAAAGCACATCTTTGAAACTGTCCTGTGTGTTTTGCTCTGGTGGAGGTAGTTGGAAATAATGATCTGTAAGGGTACAACTCCCAACACATATTTGTACCTCTCCATCCCTGGGGAATAGGGGAAACTCTCAAAGGATATTGTACACTGTGAAGAACCAAAATAAGCAACTTTTAGTGTTGCAATATTTAACAAGAGAACATAGCAACAAGGACAAAAATGCACAAAGAATGCACATTTTTATATGTGTTGTGATTCCCCAAGATAAGGCAAGCTATACTCCTAAATAATACAGCCTATATAATAATAGCAATATAATACTAATAATATCCTATACAATAATAGCAAACTCAGAGAAGGGTGGATTCCTATGCAACCTAAATGGCAGCAGAGGGAGGTATCAGTAGGCTCAGAGAAACCTTAAGGAAGTATAAAAATGAAAACCCTAAAGCAAGAGGTGGGCAGACCCCAAAACACCCAATGGGTACTGGACATGTTCAAAATAGCCACAGATTGCTGACTGACTGTTGCAGAAGTGGGCAGAAAGGAACATCCTTGGAAAGGGCTTTACCAGTTAATTGCAGTTGTAGCTGGCGGGGCTGTGCAGGCTGCATCGCTTTACTGACTTCTCAGTACCGCACATCACTGCCAGTTACTGAGAGGGAAGGGGAAATGCAGCAGGGAGCTTGGCATGGTGCAGTGCAGCAGCGGAATCAATCCAGTGCTCCCCACACTGCGCCTGCACCATGCTGAGCTGAGCTCCCTGCCTTGCCCTGCCTTACCCCATGCCCTCCCAGTAACTGACAAGGACTTGCAGAATTGCAAAATGAGTTGGGCAACACAGCCACACCTGTGCAACTGCTACTGTCTGGTTAGAACCCCGAACTGGACCACTCCTCACTGAAATGTTTTGTGGCAGTTCTCACTTTTTGAATCTATTATCTAATCTTCTGCTCTCCATATTATACTCTGGTGTCCCCGTGCTGCCTTAAGGGCAATTTTTGTCCCTTTGCTGCTGCCTTTCATCCAGTGGCAAGGCAGCAGCAGCAGCCATCAGCTCTGCTGCACCCGCTTGCTGGAAATTCCTTAACATGTCCCAAGAGCACCTTGCTGTAGACTTTGGGTGGTTGAGATGAGAACAAGAATGGAGAGGAAGCCAGTCTCTGCAGCTCCTGCTCTGACCTCCAGAGAGGTCTCTGGAAACAGTGCCACTATAATGGAAGAGCAATAACAGTAGGGCATTCTAGGGCAGGGATTATGAAGCCCACCAGGTGCTTTTGGACTTCCATTCCATCAGCCCAAGCCTGCATAGTTAATGATCATGGACAATGGTAGTTGCAGGTGCAGGTTGCCAATGCAGGAGGGGAACAGCAACATTCAGAGGACCTCAAGCTCTGGCTAGCCCAAACCCACTTGCTTGAATAGGCTGTAGCTTTAGCTGCTGAAGCTCAAACAGAAGCTTTTGCTTCAGTGATTCTATCTCTGGATAGTACCGAAATGTAAGAGCGTTTACATCTGACGGTGGGTAACAAGTGCATGAAAATGTCCTTTCCAATGAAATATTGATTGCACACTACTCTATGAGGCGCTGTGAAAGATCAGAAATGAATGTGCCCCCATTAAACATGCCACTATTAAACAAAGCAGAAAATTGTTTTCTAATATAATTCTCCTCCTAGGCCTGGAGAAGATGTACAGGCTGGAAGAAGACATTAATTTCTAAGAGAGTGCTGAAGGTGGTATGGCAGAGGCATCATTTTTGATAGTATGCACACTCATTCATTTTGGTTCAAGCAGATTTCGCTTGACTGTGAACTGCCCTCATTCTCCAAATTCCATAGAAATAACTTGATGTTGTCAGCAAAGCTGGCCACCTCACTGTTCAGGTCTAACTCTAGATTTATGAACAAGATAGGAAGCACTGGCCCCACTGATCTTTTGGAGCCCCACTTCTTACATACCACCATTCTGAAAACCAACAATTTATTTCTACTTTCTACTTCCTACTTCCTGTAACCAGTTACACATCCATAAAAGGACCCCCTACTCTTATGCCATGGCAACTAAGTTTACTCAGGAGTCTTTCCTGAGATGCCAGTATCTTCCATTCCTGTTCCAAATGTTCATTGACACTCTCAGAATGCTAAAAGTTTGGTGTGACAGGAGGGGTTACTTTTGCAGAAGCCATGATGACGTTTCTTCGGGAAGAATTGTGTTTCTGTGCTTGGTAATTTTAACTCTAAAAAGACTTTCCATTTTTAGAGTTTATTCATAGCAACTAACTGGGTTATAATTTCCTGGATCCTCCTACTTATGGACCCTTAAAAAAACAAAACCTGGGGTTACATTTCCTTCAGTTGGCTTCACCACAAAATCACCTTCAGTCTTAAAAGGCAGGAAACTATTACAAAGTTGAAACAGTTACAGTTACTGTTGTATAAAACAGATCAGAGATCTCTGGGGAATTAGAAACGAGCTGCTGCAGAAATCCAGTTTTTCAAAAACAACAACAGCAACAACAACAACCATAGGCAGCTCTTAAGCATACCAGATGATGACAGTTTAGAAGGCTGGGGAGTCACACATCTGCCTAAGCCTTGATGTATTTTGTTTTTCAAAAATAGTTTGTAATATATAATTCTTTTTTAAATATATATATATACCCCCCCAAACCCTGTATGTAATAACTTTACAGCCATCAAGGTAAGGCAGGCAGCTTTGATTTTTTAAAAATGCAAGTATTAATTGGAAACAGAAGCAAGACCACTTACTTTTTTTAGTTTCTCTTCATCATAGCTTAACAGAATCCTTCTTCCTGGTGTTTAGCCATTTCTCTTCCTACCTCAGAGCTTGAATGGAGCACATTGTGGCAAAACCTATTGACCCTCAACTCAATGCACTGAATTTAATCCCCACCAGCAGGAATTGGCTGTCTTTTCTGTGTAAAGCAGAAGCTAAACCGGAAATTCTTCTTTGTCAACTGAGAAACTAGAAAGGTGATAGGAATGGCTCTGGTCAGCTCCACCTCAGTTGTTAAACTACCGGTATGTACCTTTACACAGGAACTCTGGGCACTCCCCAGCGAGATGCTAATATTATAAGAGACCCACACAGCACTGTGGCAGAGCTAACAGACTCCATAAACTTGAGTTAATGGGCATCAATAGAAAAGGACCTGCTGGAGGGGGAAAGTTAGTCTTTAGAGTTTAATATTTTCTTGAGTTTCCACTCCTTTCTGTTACAGGTCTTTTTTGAAACTGATTGCAGATTGGATGGGAGAAGAAACAGGCTGGTATTCTGAGGGAAATGTTGTGTGGACATGTCAGATAGAATAAAAAGTTGCATACATGAGGAGCACCAATCCCACAATAAATACCCATGTGGAAGGAAATACCCATTGTCGGGGGGGTTTCCAAACAGAAAAGAGAGCTCACCTTAAATTGTGGTAATTTTATTGTCTTCCACTCTAACCGACTCAGAGATATGTTTGAGATATGCAAGTCATCATCTCAGCAGCTTTCAATACCATTGACTATGGTATTCTTCTGGAGCAGCTGTCTGAGTTGGGGGTGGGTAGCACCGCTACCAGTGTGATGTAGTGGTTAAGAGCGGTGGACTCGTGATCTGGTGAACCGGGTTCAATTCCCCGCTCCACATGCAGCTGCTGGGTGACCTTGGGCAAGTCACACTTCTCTGAAGTCTCTCAGCCCCACTCACCTCACAGAGTGTTTGCTGTGGGGGAGGAAGGGAAAGGAGAATGTTAGCCGCTTTGAGACTCCTTCAGGTAGTGATAAAGTGGGATATCAAATCCAAACTCCTTTGTGGTTGTTCTAGTCCTACTTGGAAGTTCGTTTCCAGAGGGTGATGCTTGGGGAATGAGCTTCAGCCCCATGGAGCCTTCCATGTGGGGTTCCCCAGGGTTCAGTTTTATCCCCTGCACTGTTTAACATCTACATGAAACTGCTGAGTGGGGTTATCTGGAGCCTAAAAGTATTTTTTCAGCAATATGCTGATGAAACACAACTCTACTTCTTCTTTACATCTGCAGGCATGGCAACAGATGTGCTGGACAGATGTGTTGCCTTGGCAATGGACTAGATGAGAGCCAACAAACTGAAGCTCAATCCAGATAAGACTGAGGCACTGTTATTGGATGATTCCCTACACCAGCTGGATGGGAGACTGCCTGCTCTTGAGGGGTTTACATTTCCATCAGTTGAAGGAGTGGGTATGTAGAAGGGTCCTTTCCTGTTGCTTGAGGCTCAGGTGGCCTCAGTGGCACAGAGTGCCTTCCATCAGCTTTGGATGGTGCCCCAGTTGTGTCTCTATCTGGACAAGGATAGCCCAACTACTGTTCTCTATGCTCTGGTGCTCTTGGTTATATTACTGAAACATGCTATACTTAAGGCTGCCTCTGAAGACAGCTTGGAAAATTCAGCTGTTGCAGAATTCAACAGCCAGGTTGCTCACAGGGCAAGACAGTTTGAGTATAAGGCATCGATCCTGGCCAGACTGCACTAGCTGCCAATTAGTTTCCAGGTCCAATTAAAAGTGCTGGTTTTACCCTTCAAAGTCTTAAATGACTCAGGACCACAATACCTCAAGGACCGCCTCTTCCTATATGAACCAACCCAGAGACTATGATAACCATTTGAGGCCCTTTTTCATGGGCCTCCTCCACAAGGGTGGCAACACAAGAACAGGCCTTTTCTGTGGTGGCTCCCCATTTGTGGAATGTTCTCCCCACATTCATTACCTATCTTTATGGGCCAGGTGAAAACATTTCTCTTCAACCAGGTATTTGGCTGATTAACATTCTAGGGCCTTTTAAAATGTGTCTATGAGAGAGTCGTTGGTTGCTTGATTTGCTTTTGTCTTATGTATTTTGCCTTTTCATTTCGTAGTTTTATGTTGTGAACCGCCCTATGATCTACAGATGAAGGGTGGTATACATATTTAATAAATCATAATCATCTGATGTTGCATTCACTAAATAATATATATGCATGTGTGCACTCATACTCATAGCAAGTTTCTGACTCAGGGGTCAGCAAACTTTTTCAGCAGGGGGCCGGTCCACCGTCCCTCAGACCTTGGGGCGGGCCCGGACTATATTTTGAAAAAATATATGAATGAATTCCTATGCCCCACAAATAACCCAGAGATGCATTTTAAATCAAAGGACACATTCTACTCATGTAAAAACATGCTGATTCCCAGACCATCCGCGGGCCAGATTTAGAAGGTGATTGGGCTGGATCCAGCCCCCAGGCCTTAGTTTGCCTACCCAAGTTCTGACTAGTGGGGTGCTCCTTTCCAGAAAAATTAATGCTGAATAAAGTTCACAACACCCAAATCAGTAAACTGGTTGAATGGTGTGTACATGTCAGCCAGTCTCTTGCGTCTCCAAGATTTGCTCTGTGTAATGCTCCACCCAATCTTCTATTTCCATATGCAGAGTTCAGGGATAGGCAGTTTAATCATTAACTCCATGCCATGGTATGCTTTGCATGAGATATACCCTTCAACAGTTGAAAGCCAGCCGTGAGCCACAGTCAGGGGCAGAATGTTTACTTCCGTGGTGCTTGTGCTGTGGCCAGGACAATTCTAATTGCAATTCATTCTTCTGGAGAATAGAAAACCAATAAGAAATAAAACTCATCTGAGAGAAGCAGAATGATGCATGGATGAATTCACCCATTTGGTAGTGCCATCCAGTTCCCTCCATGCAATTGTCCTCAAGCTCAGGCATTCCTAAGTTTGGACCCTCTCATGTGAACCAAGTGTTATGTTATATAAATAAGGCTTGTTTATAAATATTGAAATGAATGAATGAATGAATCTAAGTATACATATACATTTCTGCACTGGATTCAAACAATGTCCATGTCCTTAGCATGTTTTCTTTTATTTTCTTCTTTTTTACTTTTTGGTACAGCCAAGATTTCAAGGGAAAGGGACTATAGTTCATTGGTAGAGTGCGTGCTTTGCATCCAGAAGATCTCAGGTTAAATTCCTGTAGAATTATCTAATACAAACATATTTGCAAATGTATCTGTATGAACCCTGTTAAGTTGTGGGTGAACATATCAGACAACACAGCGATTTTTCAAACAGCTCTTGTTTATTCACAGGCCAGAACAGAACTGAACTGAAGGGTTCAGCCAGCCTGCTTATACAGAGCTCCACTACAACGCAACAGTAACCACTTTCTGTAACTATCCAATCATTGAACGTCACTTTCAATCCCTTATTTGCATATGTGGACCTGAGTGAAAACTATCTACAGTATCCCCCTGCTGGCCCAGGGTGAGAACTTCAGTACATAACAAACCCATCTTCACATCAAATCAGTCTTATATGATTCCACGATGCTGTTGTGCAATAGTCTTAATGTGATCCCCTAATAACTGCCTGAAAACAGTGGTTTCATTATCAAACTTAAAATATTTAGGATTGGGGGGGAGGTAAATTTACAGTAGGGATAGGGCAAATCTGACAATTTTGGTTTCATTTGGTTTCTGATTTTTGTAATATTTAGTTCAGTTCTCCACATTTCCACATCAGTTTGCAATAAAAAAGCCATCATGAAAATTTATCAGTATCTTAATGCAACCTTCTTCTAATATACATATTTTTGGAATTCGTTTTATATATTGTTTTCACTAATACATGCTTTCTGTGCACACTTTAGCTCAGTATATTGATTCATTAGTTGATTTCACTTACATGCTGGTTTTCCACAATGAGCTGTGAAACATTCAAAACATCAAAATAGAGAACATTGGAAATACAAATATACAAAATACAGAATATGTCAGTAAATTCGAAATAACAAAAATCAACAATTTAGCAAACACAGAATAAATTCTACATTACAAAAAAGCCCACTCTAAAAATAAGTACATAAATACAAAGCAATTGTGAAAGTTAAGCAACAATAAGTTTCTGCTACTGGTCCTGCTGCATGCCAAGGAATCTGGCTTAAATCCAGTTCAGAAGGAGGGGTAGATGACATACAGCTGGCATACAGGCGAGATGACAGGCTCTAGGCAGTTTTAAACACATTACATAGCTGGAGAGCTGCACTGCAAAATTTGGGAAAATGTGAATTTTTGTTTCTGCATGCATATTGCTTCAGAAAGTGCAATTTAGGTAGGTTTGCCTTTAAATGTGAACTGAAACAAATTTATTCCCCATCCCAAATGTACAGTTATCCATAAGGGGAGGGGATTGATAGAGCTCTCAACCATTACTAATCGAAGGGACATTGAAATAAGGACTGCATGGGTCATATATACAGCCCAATCTTCCTCTGGAGCAAAACAGTTTACATGTCTCTCCTCTAACAGAGATACTTCAGAACACAAGAGGTAAGAGTCTAAGAAAATATGTTAATACGATAAAATGAACTAGTCAACAGGGTGCTTTTGGAGATTAACTTTGAAAAATAAAAATTGAATCCCATAACCTTTATAAAACAGGTCTGTGTGGGAACAGGTCTACCTTGATGCACTGAAATGTGCCACAGCAAAGGGTTGCAGAAACCCAATGCATCTCGCATACATTATGGTTGTATATTTCTTATCTTGCCTAAATTGGGATACTTTTTCACTCCACCCTGTAAGGGAGAAGTAATAAATTCCTGAGAAGCAACAAGCATGCCTGCAGGGCTGCCATGTTTATGAAGGCTGTCAGTCAGAGTGTTCTCTGACGGTGTCCCATCTCCTCAGGAGCAGGTCTGCCCTGTTTGTTTGGCAATGAACGGAGTGTGTCACGCAAACGGCATTGCAGGTTAAAGGCCTCCGGGTTTTGTTTTGCTTGGGTATAGCAACAGCAGCTCAAACAAAGCTTGGCAAGCTCCAGAGTAGCTGAGGAATACCTTAGCGAGAGATACTTATACCACATCCTTTTTCAAAAAGTCAGACGTGTTCACTGACCAAAGACTTGACCAGACAATTTGCAGCACAGTACTGTAATACTCATTCCTAGTGCAGCTGTTGTGCCTTTGTTGTGCAGTGCTCAAATATCTTCTCCTTAAAGCACAATACAGAGGTACTTCGGTTTTCGAACGTCTCCGTTGACGAACGCTTCAGAACTCAAACGCCGTAAATGCTTCCATTTTCGAACACGCCTCAGAAATCAAACGGATTCCGCTGAGTGTATATGTTATTTTTCTCAATTTCCCCATTGCACCTCAGTTTTCAAAAGTTTCAGAACGCGAATGGTCCCTGGAACAGTTTACGTTCGAAAACTGAGGTACCACTGTACCTCTGTTGCAGGGGTATTGTGTTTCCCAAGGTTTCAAAAGACAGTGTCTTCTTACTGGGAAAATGTGGTTTTCTTCCCAGCCGGTGTGTCCTTTGCTATAGTGAGAATTGTGTGGAGAAGCCGGAGATTGAATTTGGGACTTCCGGAATACAAAGCATATACGCTACTGAGCTACAGCTTTTTCCTGTGAATTAGATCTTAAGATGTCTGAAGTGTATGACGTATGCATGGTGCTGAGGTGGGGCTTTCTTACAAGTGTGCTTTCTTGCACCCTGATTTCATCAGGATGAAGCCTAGACATTTTAAAATTTAATGACTGTAACTCACTTGGCAGAAACTCAACAGCTCATGGAGTTGGGTGGCATTGCCATGTCAAAGTTCCTATCCATTTCAGCTGCTCTGGAATTTACAGGAAATATAAACAGGGTGAGAGTTGAGCACAGCCTTCGGTAAACAGTCTAAATACCATTACCAACCAGCCTGAATTTTACTGGCCTACCAGAATTCTGTCTTCCTGGCCAGTTGTCATAAAAAGCAGAATGGAAACATTGTGGCCAGTGCTTTCGATATTTGCATGTTAGTATTTTTAAAGCCGTTTCTTGTCAAAAGAGGAAATTCAAAGGCATTTCCCCTCCTTAGGTTTTTGTTTTGATTTTTAAAAAAATCTTTGCTTCGTTCAAGGCAAAGCTGCTCTGCACATGTACAGAGGCATCTGAATTATTTTTTAACATAATAATAATATTAAAGATGTCAACCCTAAATCTATCTTGAAATAGATAAATAAAATAAAACAGAAAAGAAGGAGAGAGCACAGACAAACACTTGGTAAAGAAATCAGTTTTTACAAATTCTCTTCATATGTTGATAGCTATATTTTATAAGCAGCCTGTATTTTCTTGAGGTTTGTGGCAGGACTATATTTAACAGCTGCCTTTTACAGCCCATAAAATTAAAGGGTTGTAGTAAAATTATAAGCAGTGAGAAGGAAAGTGCTTTTGGTAGGCTTACGGCTGATGAATGCGCAGCCTATCCCAAAATGAAAGGCTAGCCTAGGGCAACCCTGAAATTTAATTCTGGGCTTGTCTCTCTTTGCCCCTTAGCATCGCTGCTCAGAGATGCCCTGTCATCGCTGTGATGGTTCCACCCATCGCCAGACTCTTCCTCACCCCACCGCTCTGGCATGTTGACAGCGCGCTAGCGCAAAGCACGCTGGGAAAGCGAGTCCGCCGCCGCCGCCTTTGTCGTCGTCGGAAGAGGGAAGAAAGGCAGCGGCGTTGACCACAAGTCCCAGGATGCCTGGCGCCTCTACTTCTGCCGGATAGAAAGAGGCAGCATCTTTTTCAAATACTGGGTGTTTTGGATGAGACAAGTTGCATTTGCGTTTGGTGAGTTTCGCTCTTTTTGAATTTATTGTATATGGGTGTGTTTTTCAGATAGTGAAAAGGAACCCACGCCATCCTTGCTGTTCGCTCACTTGTTAGAAGTCATGCGGGAAGCTGCCGAAGTTGGTATCCCCCGGGAACGGTCCTTCCCGTTCTCTTTTTCCTTTCCGACTCAGCCCTTAAAAGGAGATGCAGGGATCCTGCAGAAAGGAATCAGAGATAATCCCCGCCGCCCTGCTGCTGCTTCTCTTTAGCCAAGCATTCCCTCTCAAACTTTGGGACGTGCTAAAAGGAGGAGATCCGCTGGGGTGAGCTGGGCTCCGCACCAGAGTTGCGCGTGCTTGTAGGGGCAGTGATGGGATCACAGGTCAAAATGTTAGTTTATAGCTCTGGCTTACCTCGGGGCTTGTAGGGCTCTGCTATGAACAACGGGATTTGGAGCCAATGACTACCAGGTCTTCTCGGGCTCCTGTGTTGAACCCATCAGATTTGCTACCAAAAAATTCCCACCTTTCCACACTTTTGATCTTTGGCGAGCCAGGCCAGGAGTTAGAAAAGAATGTGCAGAAGTTTACCAGAATTTAGAAACGAAACAGGAAGTTGTTGGGTAACTTCCTAACTACCTACCAACCAAGGGATCTGTAATATGAGCTTGAATCCTGACAAGACAGAGACACTATGGGCGAGTTGTTCCTGTGTCCAAGAGATTTGGGGGGTGCTTTCGGATCCAGCTCTGTCACTGGGGGTTCAGGTAGCCACAGTGGCAAGAAGTACCTTTAACCAGTAGCCATTTGTTCAACAACTACAGTCATTCCTGGGCTGGGAATTCCTTGTCAGGGTAGTTTGTGCATTGGTTACTTCAAGACTAGATTACTGCAATTCACTCTACGTGGAGCTTCCCTTGTTCTTGAGCCGGAAGCTGAAGTTAGTACAGAATACTGCAGCACAATTGCTGACAGGATTGAGGCCTGGTCAGCATATAGCACCTGTGCTCAGATATCTGCACTGGTTGCTGATTTGCTACCGGGCCAAGTTCAAGGTGTTAGTATATAAAGCCCTTAACAACTTGGGACCAGTTTACCTGTGAGATCACCTTACCTCATATACACCCACTTGGCTGCTTTGATCTGCAGAACTGGTACTGTTAAAGGTGACACATAATACCTGTTCTACATCTGTAAGAACTTGATAGTTTAGTGTGGCAGCACCCTACACTTGGAACTCCCTGCCTATTGATATCAGGCAGGTGCCTTCACTGTACTCTTTTCGGCACCTGCTAAAAGCATTTTTGTTTAGACAAGGCAACCCAGATATTTAGAAAGTTGATATGAGTTTTAATTCATTTTAAGTTTGTTATTTTAACTTTCGAAAGTCATAAATTATGATGGTTAATTCATCTTATTGGTAACTTTATTGTTTTATCTTTTCTGTAAACCGCTTTCAGGGTTTGGTTTCGTTTTACAATCAAGTGGTGTATAAGCAAATAAATAATGTTTTGCATTCAAGACCGCTAGTCTTGCTTACCTAGAAGTAGCTCCCATTAATTCCAGTTGGTCTTCCTTTCATGCAGGTAACTTAAGTAGACCTGTAGGATTTTTCTGTTACATTCTTCTGTAACCTCAGAAGCAAGCCATTCAGAGGGGCTTACTCTTATGAAAGTTGGGTTAGGACTGCTATTTTCGTAGCCAAGTGGCTGTTGTTAACTGTGCAGTCTCTAGAGGCAACCCCTGCCAGCCCCACAATGCATTGCAAAAGTCTAACCTGGAGGTGATCAGAGGCTCTCTCTTTCATGAGTGGCTGCTTAGTTGCTTTTTTAAAGATTCCTCGTATGCAGGGCCTGCCCACCCAGAGGCAAACTGAGACAACTGCCTCAGGCGGCATAATCCACAGGGGCAGCAGGTCTTGCCTCCAAAAAATGCATCACCCGTTGCTGCTGTGGTGGCAACGATGGTTGTGGTGCTCTCCTTGGAGGTGAGATCAGTTTGAGGAGAATGCTAGCAGGGTAGCCTTTTATTTCTGTTTCTCTGTTACTCTCTCTGCGGGTGCTTTTATATTGTTTTGTGTTTTATATTGTTTGTCTCAGTGGCTAATCTGTTGCTATTTCCTGGCTTTTATGTTATCTTCAGTTTGGCTCTGACAATGTTTTGCATAAATCTATGAAAAGTTATGTTTGTGCCACAGAGGTTTGCAGGTCTGTTTCCACAAATTATGGAAAGAGATAGTGTGGCATAGGTGTCATATGCAATCTTTCTCACAGTTGATAAATGCTCCCCTTCCTGCCAGTAGATAGAATGTAATGTGATGCTTGGTGCCTCAGCTATTTCCCTTCCTTCAAGGTCAGAAGCGGAAGATGGCAGACCTTGAAAGCACAGTCATAAACAACAGTGTGACCCAGGTATGGCATTAATAGCTATAGTAGTTTATAGTCAGCATATTAAAGGAGGAACTCTATTTTGTTTTATTTCAATTAAGCACAATAGGGTTCTAAACATAATGAAACTGGTTTCCCCTTCAGTATACACTAAGACACTGAGGAGTTTTGTTTTCCAGACAAATACAGCCTGGAGATATGTGAACAGTACAGTACCACTGTTATGGGCCAGGCATAGGCAAGATGTTTTGGGACTACAATTCCCACCATCCTTGACCACTGGTCCTGTTAGCTAGGCATGATGGGAGTTGTAGTCCCTAAACATCTGGAGGCCTGAGTTTGCCTATGCCTGTTATGGGCAAATGAAAACCAAGTGATTCAAACTTTGGTCCCAAACTTAGAACACCAGATTGGTTTGGCATATTCTGTGTTTCGGAATTCATAGGGATATAGGAAGTTGCCTTGGATACTGAGTCAGATATTGATATTGTTATAATTCGGCTATTATTGGGGGAATATTGGAAAACGAATACAAATTTATTTACAAAAAAAAAAAAAAAGATGCCAAGTCAGACCATCGGTCCATCTAGCTCAATACTGTCAACACTGATTGGCAGCGTCTCTCCCCTATCCGGAGATATTAGGTTTGAATCTGGGGTGCTTTTCATGAAAAAGCATGTTCTCTAGCACTGAACCCTTTCTGGGTTTGGAATGATCAGAAAGTTCCTCCAAATCAAAGCAGGGTGCTTCCCATTAGGCTCAGTCTAACTCAAAGGCAGAATGCTCCCTGGGAATCCTAAAGGTCATTTCTTTGTTGTGAACTGTCGGTGAGGGGTTTCTATCAAAGGATGACAATGAGAAGGAATACTACCTTTATCCTTTCAGTTCCTAAAACTCCACCCACAGTTGCTTTTACCACCACAAGGTTGCAGATTTGCACTTACCTCGCAAGGGCTAATAATAGTCCTCTCGTTACTCAAGTCAAGTGAGCAAGCCTAACCTGCAAGTTGCTGAATGAATGGGTACCAGATGATGTACACTGGCCTATTGCTGTTCAAACATGCCTTAAACTAGTCTGGCTGCTTTCTGTAGTTCCTTTGCCAGCTCACAAATTGAAGTCATGGGCTGGGAGTCCTGACACTGGAGTTCAAGTTCTGCTTCATCACATCTGTGCTCTCTGCAGGGGATGTAATTATAGCGATAGCTTGCCTTAAGTTTGCCAGGATATACATGTTTCTGAGAATTAGTTTCCCGAGAAGATAGAGGTATGTGCTATAAGCATATTGTTGTTGTTGCTGCTGTTGTTTATATTCACAAAAGCAACACAAATTTTAAATATTAAAACCAATTACAATAAACACAACTAATAAAAACCTTTAAAAGCATATCCCAACAAATAAAAGACAGGTTTTAGAGATCCTGCCTCATTAAGAGAGGCCACACAAAGGGGCCAGGGTCAAAAGGGAAGTTTTTAGCCTGGCACCTAAAGATAGATCAAGATGGTGCCAGAGAAGCCTTCCTGGAGAGAGCATTGCACAACTAGGGATACCACCCTTCCGACCTCTTATGAAAGGGGCTCATGAAGAAGGGCCTCAGATGATGAATACTGTGTCCAAGTCAGTTCATGTAGGGATAGGTGGCCAAAACATATAGCAGTGAAATAGTCTTAAATGCAAATAGTGTGGCTTTGAGTGGGGAGGAGTTGCAAATATACAGGAGAGACAGAAATGTTCATTCAGGTTTCCTTCAGCGCAGTTTTCCCTCTTGACCAATGTTGGTTGCCAAACCTCGACTTTGTTCTCGGGCTTTTCCTCTTCAGAAAGATCCCAAAGAAGCTCTGGTCATTGCTGTGACAACAAGGGCTATTTTCAACCTGGAAAAGGAGCACAAAATCTTTTTGACAAAGGGAAAGGAGGAGTACGTGAAGCATCAGCAAACGAACGAGAACAACCCTTTGGAGCCAGGGACAGCCTTTGCTTTTATCCAGGTAAAGTGCCCAGAACAGCTCTGTCAAGGCATTTGTGAAATACAGACCACCTGTGTCTTTTAGAATTCTCATCTCAGAATTAACAGACACTTTTGCTGTTGAAATGGGTGGCAGTAGATTTTTCACTTGCACTGTTAATCTGGCTTTGCAATATGCTTTACACCCATAGATTATTTACATATCTATGGGTGTAAAGCATATTGCAAAGCCAGATTAACAGTGCAAGTGAAAAATCTACTGCCACCCATTTCAACAGCAAAAGTGTCTGTTAATCTTGCCCCCCTCATGTTTCAGTCAGACAGTAAAGATGTTTTAAATGAATGTATAAGTGTTCTTTTGCATGCACATTCATACTTTGCCTTGCAAAAAATTCCAGTTTTTAATATATATATAAATGGTTGCAAAATTGCTTTGTCCCACAACTGGGGAGTGGGTATGTGAGAGCACCATAAGCAGTGCAAATACTGTACAATCTGTTTTGCCTGTGACAGAAGCAGTTCCCTGAAACTGCTAGAAAATTGTGGATCTGGTTTTTCTTCTTCACGACTCCCTCTCGCACAGTAATATGCACCTGTGCTTTCAGAGTAGTGAAGATGCTTTCAAATAATCTGAGCCATATTTAAAATGCTAACACATTTGCCTTCACCACTTATAGCCTTAAAGGCCAGGGTTTATATTGTAATGAATGGTAATACACCTCTGGACACTTCTTCCCCGCCCCAGGCAGCACAGTTTGTGAACAAGAAACTTCTTGAAAGAGACCCAGAGGAGAAGGAGCTCTTTGACGTGATTGTCCTCTCCAATAACAGTCCAGAGAGTGGTGTGCGGGTCATCAACAGTGCTAAGCAACACAGTAGGTGTCCTAGACATAAGATTGTTAAGCCATTTTCCGGAAACCTCTAGATTTCATTTTTTCCATTCATTGTAAATTTCGTTCTTTCTGAGGGTGATTTTGATTTCCTCTTGACCTCGTTTGCATTTCTGCACACCACAATGATGCATCCGTATGTATTGTGAATCGAGAAACGAAAAGAGGTAAGGACACTGGACAGGATACAAAGCCATTCATCCCTGTACTAGGAAGACAGCACTTAGTATGGAATAGGAGGCTAATTTATGCTTATAGAGGACCTCTTCTGAGTGTCTTGGGAGACTCATAACTGGAGTAGTCATCTAGAAAAAGGCTCATGCATTTGCACAAATCAGGCAGCCACTGGCAAAGCCCCTCCATAGATGTGGTTCATTTATTAGTTTGTTTCAGTGATATATATCCTGCCCTTTGCAGAAGCCACAGGACACTTTGCTAAAAGGTCAAACGAATTAAAAAGAAGTAAACTCTTTAAAAAATCACACACACTCATTTAAAATGTAAAGCACAGCAGCTCATAATGATTCAATTTATGTAGCAATTTACTAACAGCAAATTAGACCTTTTTTCTAGTCAACCTTGTATTCCAAATGCACACCAAAAAGGTGCATTTTGACAAATCACCTAACACAGGCCTCCCCAACCTTCGGCCCTCCAGATGTTTTGGACTACAATTCCCATCATCCCTGACCGCTGGTCCTGTTAGCTAGGGATCATGGGAGTTGTAGGCCAAAACATCTGGAGGGCCGAAGGTTGGGGATGCCTGACCTAACACTACATAAAGGCAGGACTGCACACACCTTGAAATAGAGGGAGTTCTATATGCAAAGAATCACCACTGAAAATGCACTTCCCTGGGCCCTCATACCACACAGTTCATCCTGCTGATCTTAAAGCACAAATAGTCCCTGTATATTGCCAAAGTGTACACATTGAGGTCACTTTAAGTGTGAAACAACTCACAACAATATACATGCCAGGGAGTGGGGAGGAACAAATAACACCAGTAAGTAACGTATGGTGGAATCCCACCAGGGAGTAAGCCCATTGCATTCAGTGGGGGACTTACTTCTGAATAAATATGGTTTGGACTGCAGCCTAAGACACCATCTTTGTTTTAACATCATGATCTATATGAACAGGACTATACTGTTTGCAGGCAGAAGGTGAAGAAGGCAGGGAGTGCTTGGCTCCAAAATTTAGTGGCAGCTCAGGACGAAGGATAATGTTGTTTGGCCTACATATTTCAGTGCACTGACCAAATTTGCACTGAAATTTTCTTTTGGATTTCACACCTCTCCAAATGTTGCGAAACAGTCATTGCGTTGGCTCAAAGAATGTATAAAAATCTGTTGAAATTTGTGCAGTAGGATTGCCCACATTGCAATGAAATATGTACTGAAATGCATTGTTTGTGATAAAATATGTGCTTAAATCCACATTTAACTATGAATTTTCATGCTTTTAAAAACACACACACAGGTAAATGTGGAGATGGGATGGAAGAGGCTCATGAATGAACACACGTAGCAGTGTCTCGTATTGCAGATAGTTCAGTCTATACTTATCCCACATGTCAACTAGCTTCCTTGAAGACTTGTGTCTGTATGTACCCCTGCTTCACCACTGTGGGAGGGAGATGGTTTCCATGCAGCCCGATCTGCCTGTGACTAGGTCCACATTCAAAAAAAAAATCAGAACCAGGCATGTGCTCCAAGAAGGAGATGACACATTTAACAATCATCTGGGTTATAGCTGTGAATATGAGCTCTGAGACTTTGCAGCCTCCCCACAATTGGCAGGGAAAGGGTACATGCTACAGACATAAAAGTATGGAGGGAAATTTCCACAAAGGACGTAGCAGGGAAGAGCAGAGAGCAAGTGCTGCATTTACATGTTGGCAAGGTTGCCACTTTTCCTGTGGTGTTTATTCCCCATTGTGTAAGGATGTGAGCTGGGGACACTGTGAAGTTATGTGAGCAGAAACACAAGGCTACCTGGAAGCAGCCAAGGTGTGGTCTCATGCTCTGACTCACCTAGGTACAGTTTAACCAGCTGTACTTATTTCCCAGGACTTGTATGGGTGGAACAGGCACCCTTGAGGGCACAGTGCGAGTCCTGAGGGGGGAAGGAGCCTGGAACCAAGACAGGGACTTTCAGATTCAAAATGCAAGGGCCTGTGAGCCTGAGACTGCCTCAAACTATCAGCACCATCTCATGGGCCCCAAACCCCTCTCTCAGGGCTTGGGTATGTGCTTTAGAATAGATAACTACTCCCATCCCTGCACGTGCATCAAATGTAGAAAAACCCACCATTTGAAGATCACAACTTTCTGTAGTTCCTTCCTCTTTCTTTATTAGTGAAAATGAAAGAAAACAATAAAAGATGCAGAATAGTTTGCGGGTGTTCCAATCGTATGACCACTTTAATCATTTTGCCATGCTTGACAGTATTTATAAATACGGAACAGCAGCGCTGTTAGAATAATATAATCATAGATTCTAACAGTGCTGCTGTTCTGTTTTAGTAATTAGTACTGTTGCTTAAATTCATCCCAAAACAGAGCAGGGCTGTATTGTGTCCTGTACTCTATTGTTCCAATACTGTGTGAAGAAGTTCAGTTTCTCAATAATTACATTATTTTGGCACCTCCCTTCTCCGACTCTTACAAAGTTGGATTGAATAAGCCATATCTCATACCTGCAGACACTGGCCTTCTATAGATGGTGGGGTAATCTTTTTGCAATGCTGACTAATCAACAATCAATAATCAATTGAGTTGCTATTAAAAGTGAATATTTCCACATTCTGATCTGGCACTTTAACCTACATATATCTAAAAAGGATAAACAACTGATTGAATGCTAGGTCAATGCCTATGATTTTCTTGATTTCTATTACAATAGAGAGTCAAAACTGCTTAATATTAGGATGGGGCTAAAAAAGAACATATGTTTACCCCATCAGAGTTGCACTCCAACACTGGTACTGTGACTGGGCATAGATTTGACTGAGTCTGTGAGGTGCCGGTTCTAGGGCACCAATGGGAGCTTCCCTCCAAAGGCTAATGCCAACTTCAGGGGTGATTTTTGTCAAGGTGGTGACCGGGGAAATGATTGATGATGCCCCTCCCTGTGCATAACAGTCCTGATCCTGCTTGGGCCTCCCCACATTGGCATTTTAAAAAACCACTATGCCCATGAATTGCTTACATGCCATTGACATTGTATCCAGTTTGATCCAGAATGAAAGACTTGATACTTTTTGTTCTAGCTGTGCAAGTAGCACTATAGTGACATCTGGTGACAATTTCTAAGTGTTACACAACCAAGATTAATAAGAGGTTGCCTAGTTCAGCCCTGCAAATCAGACCTTGTAATATGGTATATTTTCTTCTAATATGCTTCAACTCCTTGTAGTCCCCCCTTTAAAACTGACTGCACAATATTTATTTGCCCCTGGATTAAAGGTCTGGAGATCTCCAAGTTTTGTTTTGTTAGTGATGAAGATTCTACCCAGTACCTGAAAACCCACAATGTGAAGCTTTTCCTCTCAGCTGACATGACAGATGTGTGCAATGCGCTTCAAAGAGGTTTGTTTCTGTTTCTTCTTTTCTTTCACCTAAAAAGTTCCTGTTACAGTTTGTTGACATTGCTTTTATTTTATGTCCTGGGCCTACCATCTCTCCTTCCATATGTCCTCTCAAAATTATCTGTGCACCATCAAGTTCAAACAACAGAGAAATGTGCTTGCTCTCTCGCTCCGAAATGCTGTTTGTGGGTTTGTACCCAGGATAAATCCCGGTTGGTGTCATTGTTTAGTGTGGTAAGTTCCTCTAGCGGCGTGATTGTGAGGAAAGTCACATTCATTGCTGAAGAGGAATAGCGTTTCCCTGCAATGTTCCTCACACTTCTGAACAGACATCTTGAGGAAACACTGACCTGTTCAGCTAGTGCACAGAGAAAGTGGGAGAGAGGCTTCAACCCTAGGCAAGACTGCTTCGTCTCTTCTGCTTTCCCCCAGAGCCTGTTGTTGTGACAAGGCAGCTGCATCAAAGACAACCTGTCCTCCTCCCTTTGAAGGCTGACAGCAAAATAAAACAAAAAATAAAGCAGTCAGTTGTGACATCTAAAAGCTTTAATAGTCATGAGCAGGCTGTGAACCAACAGAGCATGCCTCACATCTGTCACTTCCAGAGATACACCACATCTGTGTCTGCTTAACCTCAGGAGATCATTTCATGTCAGAGAATAGGATATTTAAATTGGGGCCGAGCCCAAGCTGTGTCTACCATGCATCCTCTGCTGAACCACTTCCAGACAGGCAATCTAACCGTCTCTCTGTCATACAGGAGTTTCAGCAGCACTCATCTTCCAGCAGGAGATACAGGCTCCCAGCACCCAGCTGCGCGTCGTCTTTGACGGTGATGCTGTGCTCTTTTCAGACGAGACGGAGCGGGTCTTTCGTGAGAAGGGGCTGGAGGGGGCTGTGGCGTATGAGAAAAAGATGGAAAGTGTGCCCATGGGAGAGGTGAGGTTGCTTACTTTTCTTATCCTTTGCTGGCACCCATCCCCCCCCCCCCGCAAGGTGTATGAGTGATTTCTCCCTGTAAGACTCATTTCTATAATATACATGAATCGAGATAACTAGCTATTGAGATCTTGAGCAAGGGCGAGGTGGCAAGGTCAGGGTTATGCTTAAGTCGATGGGCTTTGCTCATGCAGCCGCACATACCCAACTGCTGAGAAGATGATCCTTTAAGTAGCCTGTCCTGAAGCCATGCAGAGCTTTAAAAGTTCCAGAAACAGATTGGGAGCCAGTGCAGCAGACCCTCCAAGTGTCCCTGTTTCCCAGGGACAGTCCCAGATTTGCAGTGGCCATCCTGGTTTCTGACTTGATCCCAGAATGTCCCACTTTTCCTTAGCAAGTTCCTATTTTCATTGGAGAAATGTTGGAGGGTATGGAGTTATGCGACCCCTGAGCCTAGAAGATAAGTCACTATGCAACCTTTAGAAGACATCTGAAGGAAGCCCTGTATAGGGAAGTTTTTTAAAAAAATGTTTAATGTTTTATTATGTGTTTATATATGTTGTAAGCCGCCCAATGTGGCTGGGGCTACACAGTCAGATGAATGGGGTATAAAAAATAAAACTATTATTATGGAATAGGACATCCCTATTTTCATTGGAGAAATGTTGGAAGGTATGGTGGTGGTGGTGGTTGTGCTGCTGCTAATATTAATTATTTTTATTTTTATTTTGTACCCCATCCATCTAACTAGGTTGCCCCAGTCACTCTGGGCAGCTTCCAAATCATGGGGCCCTGGTGTAATACGATCATATTTACCACTCTCCAGTAATAACCTAGCTGCCCTGTTTTGACCAAGTGAAGTTTCCAAACCATTTCCTAAAGCAGCTTCATGTATATAATGCATTGCAGTAATAAAACTACCAGGTTACCAGAGTGTGGATAACAGCAGCAAGGCTCATATCTGTATGGTTAGTGGAAAGGCTGCATTAGAGGCATGATGGGTCCTGACTGGCAGAGGCCTGAGAGATGACGGATGAATTCACACAGGCATATTCATGATGTGTCTGACAGTTTTCCTATCACCTGGCACTATCTCAAACCTGATTCTTTTCAATGGAGGCGATGATGAATATGTTCAACTGCAAGTCATCAAACGGCACATATTCACCTGTCAGTTGACTCTTTGAAATGCCACAGTTCCCCCACCCAATTCAAAGGACTGAAGTGGCCAGGAAGGTGATTCTTTTGATGGGGCTTTGCTGCATTGATCTATCTTTACAAAGCAATCTTCTCTGGTTTCTGTACTTTGATCTAGTGAATGCTAAAGTCAGACAGACGACGTACACTTTAAAACTCTTCTCCCATGCCCTGATGAAATGATCACATATACAGTGACTTCTTTAAAAACTTGCCGTTTTTATAATCACTCCTTGAATGTTGTCACTTGGATAAAGTAAGATAAACCCATGTGGTTTACATTATACTATTTTAAAAAATAAAAAAGGTCCCAAAAATCCTATTGTCCCCCTCTGAATAGAACTGTTTGGTTTATAATTTACTGTTCTGTGGAATAATACAATGCCTCCCTCTTTTGTCTAATGTATTTTACAGGGCCCACTGAAAGCATTTGCTTTGCATCTTGGCAAGATGCGCCAAAAATTTGGCAAAGAGGACTCTCCTATCCGCATTTACTTGGTAACTGCCCGCAGTGGCCGTGACATGGGCATCCGGGCCATAAAAACGCTTCGGGAATGGGGCCTGGCAATTGATGAGGCCTTCTTCATGGATGGAGCACCTAAAGGCCCCATACTCTCCAAGATTCAGCCCCACATCTTCTTTGACGATGGTCTTCACAATATCCAGGGTGCCCAGAATGTTGGCATACCCTCTGCTCTGGTTCCTTGTAACTGCTGACAGGGACCACATCATGGCCGCAATATTGTGGGGATTGAACAAATTGAAGGATGGCTGGGCAAAGCTTCAGACTGACAGGACAAAGTTGAAACGGCATTGACTACATTTAGGGACCAAGGGAACAAAACTGCTGCATGAAGATACAGTGTTGGCTGCTTTGCTGCAATATATTCTGAACAAATCCAAATATATGGACCATTTAACTTGAGCAGCAGAAAGCTCATAAAGGAACAATGACTGAAATATAACTGATTGACTTGATAGCTAAATGGTGACTAGAAAAAAAGCAGAGTAATTGCTGGGAGTTTTTTTAGCCTTTTTTATTGCACTAAAATGCATTTTCATTTAAATGCTGTTCCTCTAATATTTTATATATGTGTATGCAAAAAGAGCAGAAATAAAAATAGTGGGTTTTTAAAAATACAAAGCTAAAATGGCACTGATCAGAAATATAATGGTGAAGTTGTCCTAAGGTATAAATGCAGGAGATAAGCTAATCTCCCCAGAATTTCACTGAACTCATCATTGATTGATTCATTCATTTTATTTGTATGCCACTTTTCCACAAAAAAAGCTCAAAGTGACTTACAACAAAGAAACAAGGATGCATTTCAAACAAACACCACAAAAACAAATTTATAATAACACAGCAAAACAATAACAACTACCAGCGGAGCCACACCTCTGAGAAAGGAGGGAAGGGTGGCTCTAAGGTCGTCCACACTTGTGGTGATACTTGCACTCTTTCCCCAAATGTTGAATTTTCTCCTTCCACTCATGCAATAGGACCTCCCCCTCGCCTCTCCCCAAGATCCAGAAGGTTCCTCAAACACCTGGAGCAGATTTTCTGGGTGCACAGAAGCGGAGGCGACAAGGCAGTCCCACACTACCGTCCCAATGAAAATCCACCCACCCCAAAAAGCACCTGTTATTTATCGGGGGAAGAAAGTTTCTGTTAGTGCACATGGAAATAGATTTTTAAAAATAAATAAATTAGGGTTATTAAGGGCCTAGAAAGCTCAATAACATGTGCAGCCTTGACAACATGCAATGGTAAAAATCCTCCAATGCAGCTTTAATGGGAGGAAGGAAGTTGTTTGCCCATAGGGACAAATAAAATATTAGCAAGTATTACATTAGATTTATTATTGCAGCCTGGAAGGAACTGCAAACAGAAGCATCAAAGGTTCATCATGAGAGAGTGCATACATGAGTGCCTTATTCAGCCACATCCAGAATTCTGCTGAGGTCAGTGGAATGTTGACTTTAAGTGGGGCAACTGATGCAGAATCTAAAACTGGCCAATCTGTTTATACCAATGTTATCCACACGAGGGCAGCACAGAGCTCTCTACCAAAGCAGGCATGGCTTAGCCCAGACATTTTCAACCTTTTTGAGTCCAGGACCTTGACCAACTACATTGTTTCTGCAGCACTCCTGTGGGGCTCAGGAGCCCAGTAATTCACCCCTCCCCTGCAGAGCTGGCCACCTCTCGACCTTTCTTGAACACCCTCCCTTGTGGAGTGTTCCATAAGGTTACCAGACGTCCCTGTTTCCCGCGGACAGTCCCCAGATTTACAAATCAATCCCTATACAAAATCCATTGAAATTGAAAAGGGTGCCCAGATTCATTGAAAAAAATCTGGTAACCTTAGTGTTCCATCAGCTTCCTCTCCTCTCTCCTTGGGAGTCCTCTGGGCAGCTGCTGTCGCCATCCCTGGTCTCTAAGCTGCCCCACCCCCCCACCCCAAAGAGAGGCGCTGCCTGCAGAGCTTATAGTCAGGGCTACTGCAGTAAACAGCTGTGCAAGCCTTTGGGAGGCGGAGGCATCAGAGGAGGGAGGGAAGGAAAGAGGGACAGAGGCCAGTGTTGCCTGCAGCACCCCAGACTCGTTCAGTGCACCCCAGGGTGCCACGACACACTGGTTGAAAACCACTGGTTTAGCCTATCCCTGCTCTTTCTAGTACAGTCAAGATTATTCTTTGTTTGCTTGCTTGTGAATATAACATTCCTTTTCCCCCTCTGACCTCGAAACAACGTGTCAATGTCTGTGATAGGTCTCTTTTTAAAAAATACCCTGTATGGAATCCCTGTCAAGGCTGTATAGTATATATTTTAGCATTTGCAAGTTTGACTACTCTTTAGACTTCCCACTCGCTCGCACACAAAAGAACAAAGAACACAGAAAACTAGCTTATAGCCAGCACCAGACCATTGGCCCAACCCACTCGGTATTGTCGACAGTGATTCTCGGCAGCTATCCAGAGTTTCAGACAGGAGTCTTTCTCAGCCCAACCTTAAGATACAGGAAATTGAACCCAGGACTTTTTGCATACAAACCATGTGCTCTACCACTGAGTTGGGCATTTGCAAACTAGATGGTGCAGCACTTTGGAAGGCAGGTGGAGCAACTGCATGCTTGAATCCTATTCATTCTGCGTGAATGAAGCTAACACACCAGGGAGGAATCTTGGCGAAAGCAGTTTTCCTTGGCATCATCAAGGTTTTGTTTTGTTTTGTTTTTGGTTTCCTGTCAGGAAGCAGTCAAACAGGTTTCAGCTTAATATTCTTATCAGCTTTAGCCGACCTGAGTTATTTCTCGATTAGCCAGCAGAAATAAGAGTTTGCATTTGGCTGCGATGCACTATTTTGTTCAAATTAGTTCCCCGCCACTTGCTGCACACCCATCACATTTATATCAGCTGAATCCTTGTTGCCATGCTGCATAGAGCTTGGGACCAGGGCACCTGAAAGATTGCCTCACCCCTTATAAACCCAACAATCATTGTGCTCTGCAGATGAGGGCTTCCTGCAGGTACCATCTTATAGGACCCTCACACCTACGGGACTGCCTCTCCTGGTATGTCCCACAGAGGACCTTACGGTCTTCAAACAAAAACATCTTGGAGGTCCCGGGCCACAGGGAGGTTAGGCTGGCCTCAACCAGAGCCAGGGCTTTTTTGGCTGTGGCTCCGATCTGGTGGAACGCTCTGTCACAAGAGACTAGGGCCCTGCGGGACTTGACATCTTTCCACAGGGCCTTCAAGACAGAGCTGTTCCACCAGGCCTTTGGCCAAGGCACAGCCTCCTTTGGTAATCCTCACAGAACTGTAGCCCAATGGTTGCCATTCATTTGATTTTAAATTGATTTTAGAATGCATTTCAATTAATTGATTGTGATTTTATGTAAACTGTGTTACTTTTATTGTTAGCCGCTCTGAACCCAGCTTCGGCTGGGGAGGACGGGATATAAAAAAATAAATGATGATGATGATGATGATGAGACCCCTACTGCACAATGAAGGGTAGGGGTATTTATTGTGGTGGCAGTTACCCTTTGGAATCAATTAAGTAGCCATAGAAAACATTGCAGACTGGGTTAGAAAACAAGGTGTAACATCACAGTCCTTTCCTTTAATGTAGAACCATTTGCAACCATGGTGATTCATGAATTTGACACACACATAATTTGCAAGAAGGAAGATAACCTGAGAGCATCCAGTCGTAGCTAAACCAACATTGCCAATTCAGTGGCTCTGCTCTGGATCTGGGAGAGAATCCACTGCAGGAAACAAGCCATACCGCATAGCGACATCAAATGAACTCTCTTAATTAAGACCTATTCCCTTGGCTTTCCTGACAGTCATGTTAAAGGCTGACTCAGCCAAATATCTGAGCAAAAGGGGATTAAGCAAGGCCAAAAAAAAAGTGGTGCAGAAATGAAAGACTTGCAGGTGGGAAGGACATGATGAGATTATCCAGATGCATGGTGGGAAGAGGGAAACAACCACCCACAGGCCTAGGGTGTCTCTGTCACCTGGACAAACAGGAATGCTAAAGTGTGTAATTGCTGAGGAAATAATGAGCCGTCTCTGTGCCATCAAGTTCCATCAGCATATAAGGTAATCACACACTATGCAAAATATGCCTAAAGAGAGAAAGGGAAGGGTTTGTCTTGTTCTTACCAGTAACTCCAAATTATTATTATTTGCGTTTATAGCTTGCTCTTCCACCAAACAGCTCCAGCTGGTAAATATACAGCTCTTCTCTCACAGAATTGCCTAAGAATAAAAGTAGGTAAGTTACACTGGTAGCACCTGTGCCTTTCCCAAGGTCACCTTGGGAACTGAATAGGCAAGTAGAGATGCGAGTCTAGACCTCCACAGCTCTATTCAGGGCAGTATTTGGGCTTCCGGCTTCCTCTTCCAGATTTCCCCAGATTTTTTTTTTTACAGAGCACTGTCCTCAACCATCTTCCTTCCCCCCAATGTGACTCAGCTATGCAGTTTCCTCTAGGGCTTAAGAGAAATTATCTTTCTGTAAGTGCTGTTGTTTGAACAAGCAGCCACATGAGGTGAATTTTCACGCTTCATGAATGGATGGCAGAGCGGGCCTTTGGACTGCCGAGGTTAGTGGCCACTAGTAACGAACCGAGAGGGTTGTAATACACTTTGAAAGGAAACAGCGAGCTTTCTGGCTAAAGCTGTTTTGTGGTGCAGCTGAGGCCTTATTATCCAGCTGCCTGACAAGCCCTGGGAAGCTGACCAAGACCAAAGTAGCACTGAACTGTTTCCAAGTACAAGGATAGATCCCCAGCAGATGTCACCGGCGTAGCTTGACTGGACTTGCTGAAGCTGTGGGTTTGATGTACACCAGCTGGGAACCTTGCCCTGAGGAGAACGCAGAAAAGCCAGCGTTACTGAATAGGTTTATGAAGTCATTAAAGACTGGAATAGAGTCCTTTTCATTATGTCATTCAAGTGGTCACTCGGAGCACGATTGCCCTGTATCTCTCAATTTTTGGCATTTTCCTTCCATTATTGACAAGAGTCCAAGGGTGTGGGGTTGCTTTTTTAAGGCAGACTTTGAAAGAAGTCCACAAAAGTTACTAACTTTAAAGCTTTAAAAAAACAAAAACAAAAAAACTTGCCTACTGTGGGCTGGCAAAGAAAGAATGGTGAGCTCCGTGACTTGGTGCAAAGAAAGAGGGTTCCCTCCTCTGGCGGCTCTCTTGGTTGCCATGCTGGGCAAAGAGGGGGAACAGAGTGATCCCTCCCCTGGCAGCATCCATGCCCACCTGCACGGAATCCCTTATCACCGATGGCTGCCAGCCAGGTGCCTAAATTAAGGACAGTTGTAATAAGTATGGTCCATTACCTCACCACAAGTGAACCTGGCATTCTTCCTAGGGCAGAATCAAAGGCTCGGTTCTTTCTACCATACAGCAGCTTATTACACTCACAAGCAGATTGCAAGATCCACATAGCTGCCACATTGGAGCCGTGGTCCCAGTATAGTCTCACCATTCCTTGCTCTGCTTACATTGTCTACAAGCTGACATTTTCTCTCCTTGAAGCTTTGTACTGGGGAGGATTAAGTCCCCCTAGGAGATTGAATCTCCTTATCATCAAAAGCTTAGGAAGGTCCTGAAAATGATGGA